GGGGGGGGGGGGGAGGCAGTCGGCGGTGAGAATGGTGAAGGCGGAGGGGCGGGGCAGGAGCGAAGGCAGCAGGGAGAGACCGCGAGAGAAGAAGGGAGGGAGCGGTGAGGCACTCGCCTGGTCGGCGGACCACGGCAGCTCGAGCGTGATGTGCAGCCGCTTGCGCGTGTTCGGCACGCGCCGGTCCGCCTGCAGCGAGATGCCCGATGAGGCCGCCTCCGAGATGATGGCGACGAGCTTGCGGCCGTCCATGAAGGCCTGCTTCTCCGCCAGGTTGATGCGCTCCATGGAGCACCCGAGGTCGACGTTGCGCCGCTTGTAGACGGTGCGGCCCTCCTCGTCGCGGACGAGCCTTCCCTTTCGGCCCGTGAGCTCGGCGACGGCGTCAGGGCCGCCCAGCTCGTGGATGATGTTGTCGAGCGGGTTGGAGGGCATGCGCAGGCTGCGAAGCTTCCGGAAGAGTTGCCTGCGCAGCCGCTGCAGCCTCTTGATGTCCGCCACGTTCCCGTGCTGCGCCCAAGACAGGTCCTCCGCCGCCGCCTCGTCGTCTGAACCGGCAGGCGGCCGTCGCACCGGCGGCGGCGCCGCCTTGGTGGCGGAGGAGGACGCCGGCTTGCTCGCTGAGGGCGCGGCGGAGCGGGAGGCGGAGGGGGCGGGCGGCCTCGCCGCCACGGCTCGCTCGCGGATGAAGTCGGCTTCGGATCCGGATCCGTCCTCGCCGTCCTCGCCGTCGCTCTCGTCGTCCGAGCCTCGCCACTCCGGATCGGACGACTCGCTCTCGTCGCCCGCCGACGCACGCCGCACGCCACCCGCCGCCGCACGCCGCGCGCCGGGCTTTCCCCCTCCGGACTTAACCCCGGGCTTTCCCGCGGACTTGCCCCCGCCGCGCAACGCCTGCTCGAGCAAGTCCTCCGAGTCCGAGTCCGCGCCACGCTCCGGGTTGGTGCCCGGCGGGCGCTGCGTGCGGAGGAAGGACCAGTCCGCGCCGCTCGCGAGGTCGACCTGGTCCGCAGCGCTTGTGTCGGCGTACCGCACGCCGTGCAGCTGCGTCCGCGAGTCGTACGACTCGACGGTGGCGCGGCGGCGGGCGCCGCCCTCGCCCCGCAGCGAGATTTGGCGGCCGACCAGCCCGTGCTCGCCGTCCGTCGCGTCGAGGTCCATCGGGGAGCCGCCCCCGCCATCCTCGCCCTCCTCGCCCTCGGAGTCGCCGGCGTCGTACCGCGGCAGCGACGAGGTGGAGAGCCGTCGGCGCTGCGGCGCCGCGGCGCGCGCCCCGCCTGTTTCCGGCGCGGCGCGCTTGCCCTTGTCGCCGAAGCCCGCCTTGACGAGGAGCGCCGCCACGCGGAGCGACGCGCCGCCCTGATGCGCCGCCGCCCGCTCGTGCTCCTTGAGCCGCTCGATGAGCTGCGCGTGGGAGGGCGAGGGGCGAGAGAGGCTGATGCTATGCGGAGGGCTGTGTGTGGCAGGGAGACAGCCGTGCGACGTGGAGGGAGAGAGGGGCTGTCGAGGGGCGGGAGGGCATCGGAGGGCGGCTCGAGAGCTCGACTTCACCTGCCCGCGCTCAAAGCACTGGTGGTCGGCCACGTTCGCCGCCTGCAGTAGCTTCCTCAGCTGCGCCGCGTCCATCGCCTTGAGCTGCTTCCGCACCGCCGCGGGCAGCCGGCCTCGCCGCGAGGTGCCCTCGCCGCCGCCGCCGCCCTCCTCCGCCCCACACGCCTCGCTCCCGCTCTCGCTCCCGCTCCCGCTCTCCTCCGATTCCTCGCCGTCGCCGTCGCGGACGATGAACCCGTCCAAGTCGTCGTCCTCCTCCTCCTCCTCGTCCGAATCCCCCACCCCGCCCTGCCGCTTCCGCCGCATCCGCCTCGCGGCGTCCGCCGCACTGTCGGCCGCGCGCGCGGCGCCCTCCGCCACCTCCGCCATCACGTCCTCCTCGTCCTCGTCCTCGTCCTCGCCCTCCGACTCTGGGTGCATGTTCATGTAGTCGCCTAGTCACGGCGAAGCGCTGCCGTGAAGGGACACCACTCCCCCGCTGTCGGTGCAGGCTCATGCACGTGGCCGCCCGTCGGGAAACGCTTGAGCAGGAAGCGGACGCACTCCTTCATCCCGGCGAACTCCTCCAGGTCCTCGCCCGACTTGACCGCGTCGGTGAGCCGCGCCTCGCCCGTCGACTGGAGCCCGACCACGACGCACTTGTTTGCGGCGAGCGCCTCCTTGGCCTTCTTGACCAGCTCGGGCACCTTCATCGCCATGCAGAGCGAGCGGAAGAAGCGCTGGTGGCAGCCCCAGAAGCTGCTGATCACCTGACAGCGTGGCGCGGCGCTCACTGCAACGCTCTCCACGCGACATGCCCCCGGAGGCTGGTATCACCGCCCACGAAGGGTGCTTGGCATCCTTGGGTCGGTCCGGGAAGTCGTTCTTGACGCGCAGCACGTCGTGCAGCGCGTAGTTGAAGCACGCGAGCATGTCGGCCCAGAACCGGGCGGCCTGAGACTCGCAGCCAGGACGGCAGTGATGAGGCTGGGCGTCCCTCGGCGGAACAAGCGGCCGCCTCGCCGCGCATCTCGGCTATCTCCTCTTGTCGTACATCTCGGCTATCTCCTCGCCTCGTCGTACATCTTGCGCTGGGCGTCATTCAGGTCGACCATCGCCTTGTCGAAGGAGGCGGCCGAGAAGGAGAGCTGCCGCGAGAGGTACATGCCCCGCCGCTTGAGGTCGAGCGCGACCAGCTCCATCGCACCTACAGTCCTCGACACCGCCCTCTCGCCCCGCGCAACCCTCGCATCTCCACACGCCGCGGTGAGCTCGCCGACGGGGGCCTCGCCCTTCTTGCCGTGCTGGCCGAGCGCTTTCGTGAAGGCGCGAAAGTCGGCGAACGGGGTGGCCGCCCCCCATAGGCCGAGCCGCTGCATATAGCCCATGTTTTGCAGCGACGAAGCGCCCGTGGCGGAGCAGTACACGACGCGCGCGCTCGGGCAATCGGCCTGGGGCGGCAGGGGGCGGGGCAAGCTCCGGGGGTGGCGAATGGCGAGGGGAGAGGGAGGAACAGGGGCTGGGAAGTCGCAATGCTCGCCTGCATCTTCTCGCACGCCACCGCCGTCTGAGAGCACTTCTTACCCTTCTCCGGCGCGAGGTTCTTGGCCTTGTGGCTCTCGTCGAAGAGGATGCACCCCTCCGCCTGAGCGCTGCCGAGCCACGCGACGAGCTGCTCGGCGCGCCTAGGCCGCACGGTAGGACGGGTCAAAGGACAGGCCGCGCGCCCCCAGCCCAGCCGACGGGCGAGCGCACGTCTGCTTGGAGCGGTCCTTTGCGATCAGCGCGCTGTAGGTGGAGAAGACGACGCAGTCGGCGGACCAGTCGTGCGGCACGCCGTTCCCTCCCCGCCGCATCGCGGCCAGCCTGCCCCGCGGCAGCTTTGTGATGTTGAAGACCTGCGGGGCGGGGCGTGTACGCATCGTGGACGTGGCCGTTCGTCCTCGCGCATCCAGATAGCAGCAAGCACCTTGATGTGCGAGAAGCCGATGTCCTTGAGGTCGCGCTTGGCGTCCTCCATCAGGTCGGCCGAGACGGAGACCCACAGGTGGCGCTTGCGACCGCACAGCCAGTTCTCTGCGATCACGCCGGCGAGCTGCCGCCCCTTGCCGAGGCCGACGCCGTCGCCGAGGAAGAAGCCGGCGCGGCAGCCTGCTCACAGCAGAGGAGAGAGGTGGAGGGACGGGCAGCCCGTAGTTAGGGCCGAGGGGGAGTGGGCCGGTGGCCGCCGTCGGGCAGCCGCGACTCGTGCCGCTGGCAGGCGTAGGCGACGGTCTCCAGCTGGAGGTTGGAGAGCGAGCCTGAGGGGAGCGGAGAGGAGGGGTGGCGGAGGGAGGGGAGCTGGAGGAGCAGCAGCTGTAGCAGTGGCAGGAAGGAGTGGGTGGCGGGGGGGGGGGGGGGGGGGGGGAGCTCCCTCCGGTCGGGTTGCGGTCGGCGCGCGGCTGGAAGATTGAGTCGGGGAGGGAGAGGCTGTAGCTGATTGGGGGCGGCTCGGCAAAGGAAAGAGAGGTCGTCTCGACGACCAGCTCCGGGTGCGGCTGCCCACGGGCAAAGTGGCATGGAGCATAGGTCGCAAACGTCTCCTCCGACTCTTCATCCTCGACCTCGGCCTCGTCCCTGGTCGGTCTGCCGGCGTCGGCGCCGTCTGGCGCCGGCTGTGGCGCCCCGCCGTCGTCAGTGTCCGCCGCGGCCGCGAAGCGCTGCCGCACTGCCTCCGCCGAGTCCACCTGCCGGCCGGCGGCTTGGGCACGCTGCGCAGCCTCGCGCTTTCGCTTCGCCTGCGCGCGCTTGCGAACCCACTCTGCCGAGCCGTCGGCGAGGCAGTGTTCGTCCCAAAGCTTGCACTCGCTCGCAGGCGCGTCGCAGACGTAGCAGAAGCACTTGGCACAGCACTCAGCACACGACTGCGCTGTCGCCGGCCGCGGCCACGGGTGGACGAGGCAGTCGTGCCGCATGTGCGGCATGTCGCGGAGAGGGTTCGTGCCGGTCGAGCCGGTGAACTCAACGTCGTCGTCGAGATCGGCCATGCTGCTGCTGCCGGCTGGAGGAGACTCCGACTGCAGCGGCCACCGTGGCGCGAAACCGCGTCAAGTTTTTTTTTCGTAGGATGAGTGCGCGACAGTCCAGAGCCCAGTGTTTGAGTCCGTTATAAAGCTCTCTTCCTCCAGGGGGTGGCGTGAAATTCTGGGCCCCACACCTGTGATATGTTGGTTGGTTGTCTGGCGCACCGCGGGCCAAGAATTTTTTAAGAAAGGAAATTCTGTTCTCCACAATCAATCAGAACCGCACTCACAGAGAGAGCGCCTGACGAGCGAGCACGCGCGGGCGGCGGACTGACGACACTTAGGAGCGGCTAGGGCCTTTGGGCAGCAGCCGCCCGGGGCAAACACATTTTTGGCCTTCTTGCCTTCGCGCTTCAAAGAAAGAATTTTACAACCAAACTCTCTCACACGACACTAGGGTCTAGGCACGGGACTGGCGCGCACTGGCACTAACACACGTACACCACGGGAGCCGCCTAAGCGACTCCTGCGAGGACGGCGAGGCACTTAGCTCCGTGCACTGGCGACCGCCTCGCCGCAGGCAAGCTCAACATTCACAATCTGCTCTGCTATGGCCGTGTGAAGAACGACTGAGATACCAGATATACGCTGCTTCTGCAGCCCAAGCCAATTCTCGGTGGTCCAAGTCACCTCATCGAGGTACTGGGTCCGCGTCAGCTTGTTCTGCAGCACGTTCGCCGCCTTCCACGAGAGGATCTCGCGGACCCTTCCCATCTTCCCGAACCTTAGGGGACCCCGAGGCTTAAAAGGGTGGGCCCTGGGGCGCCTGCGGCTTAAACGGCTTAAAACCTGCCTAGGCAGGTTTTAAGAGCTGCTGGGCCGCCGATTCATTAAACGGTCTTAAACGCTTAAAAAGGTGCGGGAGAGCTCCCGAGGTCGATGGTCCGGGAGGCTCCCGGTGGACGCCGTAGGCCGGGAAGCTGGCTACAGTCAGCTAGCACGCGTCCCCTATGTGAGTATCTATGGGCTCCTGCCAGTGCACCAGACTTACAGATGTGTCTTCAGAGGCGGGTTTGTGCCTAATAACGGCGGTATTGGAGAAAACGCTGAGCGGCGCGGAACCCAGCGACGCGTGCTGGTGAGGCCGATTTTCTTAAACGGTCTTAAAAGAGGGACCCCCCGTGCCTGCAATCTCTTAAATGGCAATTTCAGCCCCCAAACCTCCTCACTTCTTAAAAGCTCTTAAAAAAATCCGGCCCTCAGAACCCTAGGGGTCCCCTAAGTCCCGAACCCACCGAACGACGCGAACAGCTGCTGCACGTCGACGTCCTTGTCCTCCCTGGCGTATGAAAGAAACTCTCTCACACGACACTAGGCGTATGAAAGCTGCTCCGTGTGAGAGAGAGATTTTAGCAAATACCGTGTGCGCACAACCGCAATGTCCAATGATCTCGACGGCGAATGTCTCTCCATCCGGCACTTTTTCCTTCCACTCCTTCCTTGTCGAGACGAGCCGCCGCTGAGGCGGCGCGTCTGCGTTGGAACTCGCCGGCGTCTGTCGGCGCCGACGACGCCGCGCTGGCGCTCCACATCGGGGCCGTGTCCATGCTCCATGGTATTAGGAGACCACAAACGGTACCACGGACACACGAGTGATTTCATTTTCAGTGTACGTACTTTTAGCTTACTGGGAGAAAAGGGAGACTCTCTCAGTGTACGTACTTTTAGCTTACTGGGAGAAAAGGGAGAGGGGGTTGTGTTCTCTAACTCTATCTAGGCCCCTCATCTCTCTCTCAGTGTATGTGGCTCTTACGTACATTCCCGTGTAGCGCGTAGACTCTGCTGACAGGGTTTGCGATGAGGAGCGACCCGATGGGCATCTCCGGAGGTTATTTTTTACTATTCACTGTGAATTCCATAAGTAAGCCTTATCATAGGGAGAGGTCAAAGAAAGAAAGAAAATAGGCACACAAAGGGAGGATGGGAGGACGGCACGCCGCCACCACACACGCACACAGAGATTTTAAGGAGAGGCGTGTGGTGCTAAACGAAAAAAGAAAGAAAGAAAGAAAACGGACAACCCAAGGGAGGGATGGGAGGACGGCACGCCGCCACCACACAGGGATTTTAAGGAGAGGGGTGTGATGGCATGCGCTAGCCTTCGCCCGCCCTTGGGCGTCCGCCTCTTCCTATATCTCTCTTCGCAGTCTCTCGCCGATTCTCGCTGCAACCTTCATGCCACCTCGCGGTCGTCCCACTCTCGTCGTTCTCTCCCTTGTCGCTTCTTCCTCTGTCGCGTCGCTCTCCTCTGCCTCGTTCTGCAACGTCGCCGCCGCCTGCCGATCCCTTGTTCTCGCGGCTTCTTTCGCCTTTCGGCGCAACTCCGCCCTCCTCGCGGCATATTTTATTTTGGCCCCTCGAGTTTATCGAGCTCTCCTCGCGCAAGGACGACTCTTCTGACGCCCACTGCGATCATTTGCCGCCAAGTCATATCGTTGCTCAGGTCCACTCTCTCTGAGCACTCTCTCTTCGAACACTTGTGCCTCCACAGTCAGATGATGCTGGCGCTGGGGTCCCCTTCGGGTGCATCGTGACAGCTGGCGACGGGATCACCACAGGTGTTTCGTCCTCCTCGGGGTCGTCTTCCCCGGCTTCCTTGCGTTCGGCGTGGCTCATCCTCCATGCCGTGAACAGGCGCTTTATCCACCCTATATTCTTCTCTCTCTCCTCTGCCCGTGCCTTGGTCTTGTCGTTGTTTCGCACACCCATGTCTGTACGGCAATCGATGCTGCCTTCCCCACTACCTGTAGTTCACTCGTCACCTCTCCCGCGAGCTCCCCTCTCTTTCTTTCGGGTATGGAGTCCGTGAGTGCGGGCAGCGTGCAGGCAATCACGGGCGCTATTTTGTCGTAACTCCTCTTCGGCGAGCGCTCCGAATCTAGACCCTATTGCCTTTAAGGAGGCTGCCCTCGCGAGTCTCAGGAATGTGGCGGTGTCTTTTGAGTCCGGCGCCTCCCGTTCGACTCTTGCTGTCGCCCTCGCCGTGTGTTTGTCAAGCTTCCGCATGAAGCAACGCGCCTCTTCCCTTATTTCCAGCGCAGCTGCCGCTCAGTATGTGCGCCAACGACGCCTGTGGTGGCTCACTGTCTTCTTGTTTCCAGTCGTCCCGGTCTCTCAGTTCTCCGATTCTCCTCCTTGCCTCGCGCGCCTCTTTTGTGGCCTCATCCCTAGCCGCCTTGCACGCTCTGCATCCCCAGAACGCACTTCTCGTGGCGGGGCCCCTCATTCCCCGTTTCTTTCCCCCCTCTAGTGTCTAGAATACGCCTGTGGTGTGCCCCATGTGGCACCCCGACCTGTTGTCTCACCCTGGCCCCCAAGATCGTTTTTATCGTCACATTGTGACCCCCGACGTCGTCAAATGTCGCCCGCCTGTCCTTCCCCCCATTCTCGTCTGGTAATCCCCCCATTCTCGTCTGCTTTAGGCTGGCTACAGCCACTTCGCTCCACAGCCGTCCCGCCACCGGTGTCCCGTGTGCGATCCCGGCCTCACCGTCTTTCGATATTGCTCGCACACCCACACACTCGTGCGCGCTCTGACACATGCATGTGTCCGTCCGTACGTCCGTCGGTCCACTATCTATCTCCCTCTTCTCTGTGTCCTCTGCCGCCTCCCTTCGTACCGTGTACATGCATGGCCGGGTTCGCACCGCGTCCCGCCCACTTCCGAGGCGTCCTCCGGTGCTAAACGAGAAGTTGGATTGCAAAAGAGGACGAGAGCACCCTCTTTTATGACCGCGCAAGATAAAAGGGTGGCTAAGGGCTCTGCCCGCAAGGCGCCCGCGTCGCAGACGCGGTACCATTGACAAATCTGCGATATACCCCCACACGAGCAAATAGCCAAAATCCGAATACCGTGCAGGTGGCGTTTATTTTTGCTTGGGGCGGACATCATGATGAAATTCTGGAAAAACCTGACCGGCCCCTGCGGTGCCCCTACCTACCTACCTACCTACCTACCTTACTTATGGGAAACTAAAAAAGAAATCACTCGATGCGTGAAGGTGGGGTACTATACCAACTAAAGTGATGGCTGGTGGTACTCTCCTGCACCCACAGTCCTTCCTGTGACATGGCAGGCCACTATCAAGCCCTACCTACAAGCACCAGATCACCCACTTGGGGAGGGTTGACGTCGTGATTTCCACGGAAAATTTCTTTTTCTGCTGTGAAAATTCCGGCGTGAAGAGAGGGAAAACCCCGACGGGAGGGCCCAGACCCTACCTACCTACCCCGTCATGATGTCCGCCCCAAGCAAAAATAAACGCCACCTGTACCGTGCACGAATCCGGCGATGTGCGCCGTGCAAGCCTTCAGCTGGTGCCAAGACTGCCGTCTAACTGCCATGTCACGGCCGGTCGGCTGCCGCTCTCGCCTCGCTGGCGGCGCGGTCTGGTGCCGCGGCGCCCAGCTCTCCTGTGGGCTCGCGGCGGCTCGCCGCCGCGGTGCCGAACAATGTGACCAGTCCGGATTCGTCCCGGCGTGCCGCCGGTGCCGCTTCCTCGCCGAAATTTTGCTCGACCAGTTTGTCGACAAACCTGTGCCAGAGCCCCTGCTGCTCGACTACGCGGCGGAGCCGGCCCGTCGCGGCCGAGAGGCGATGCGCCGACACCGGGGCAACGGCGCGGGACCATTTCCAGGCTCTCTCGAGCAACCTCAAATTTGGCCGATTTTGTGGATCTCAACCCTGCTGCTCTCTGACCACAACCTCGCGGCCCGCTGCGCGGCTCTCCGAGCGCGAGAGGAGTCGTCTACGAGGCGGCGGCGAGCGCAGGCGGCGGCGGCGCGGCGGCGCGGGGGCGGATCGCGGCGCAGACAACGGCAGGAATCTGCGGCAGGCCGCTGCTTGCTGCTGCAGCTGCAGCTGCTGCTGCTGCTGCTCCGCTGATTGTGGACACGATTCCTCCGATCACCCCACCCGCCCGCCCCGCCCCGCCCGCCCGCCTCTCCCCGCTTGCCCGCCCGCCCGCCCGCCCGCCCGTCCAACCACCCATTCCCATCGCCATCTCACATACCTTCATATAGGCGCTCGAGACCTCCTCTCGCTGCCTACTCGCTGCCTCGAGGGAGGAGGGGAAGAAGTCGAGCGGGCGCCACTGCGCTCGCCGTCCCGAGGCCCCTCCCCGAAAGGGCAAGTATTAGCCTCACGAAATCCGAGACCCCTCCCCCCCGCCCCGATCCCCCCACCCCCTTGCTCCCCTCCCCCCCTCGGGAGGGCCGAACTGAGGCGTCGAGGGCCCCCGCTCTTCCTTTCGCATAGCGGCCACTCTTCGGATCGCTGGTCGAGCGACCCGGGGGATGCCCCGCGCGCCTGACCCAGGCGCGAAAACGAATCTGCGAGGCGTGGCCGCTCACGCGGCCCGATGGGGAGGAGGGGAAGACGTAGGGCGTGCTTGCGCGCCTTTCCGAGGCCCCTCCAACCCACCCGCGCTAGGTCTCGGGTTTGACGCATGGGGTCACTCCCGCGAAACTCGGGAACTAGCCGGGGCAGTCGGAGAAGTGGCAACTCCGTGCACTGACGGTCGGCCGTCAGAAAACACGCCTCCGTGGCTCGGGTTACACCAATCCTCGCTACCCAACGCGGCCAAAGGATATCCACCTCGAGAAGAACCTCGAGAGGTGCCAAGACATTCGTAAAATTGAAGCCAAGAATCCGCCAAATCCGTGCTTTCGCGCTACCGCTGAGGGGAAAGCCGCTGATCGAGCCCAGCGTGCCCGCGGCCGCCTCCCGCGCAGCACCGCCGCTGCGGAATCGGATCGATCCCATGGAGGAGGAGGGCGCAGTCGGCCAGCGCAGCAGGCGGAGTCCCTCCCCGCGCCGGAGCCCCCCTGCAGTCGAGGGAGTCCTCGTTGGCGATGAAGGTGGCGACATCGAATCGCGGCCGACACACGTCACGTGGGAGGAATGGGCGATGAGCGGGAACGATGCGCGCTACGACGCCGACTCCGCCGTGCTCGTGGCCGCAGAAAGCCGCGCTCCAGGAGCACGCCAAGATGCAATGGCTCGCTTGCTTCGATTCAGCTCTCTCGGCAGCAGAAGTGGGGCTGGAGCGGGTGGGGGTGGATGCCGATTGAGGGAGAGCGTCTCCAGCTGCGCCCTGTGGCAGCTGCGCCCTGTGGCAGCTAGTCGAGGGACTTGGTAGTCGTGACCCCCCTGAGTGAGCGGACAGGAGAGAGAGAGCGTTTTGTGGTGTTTGTTGGTGTACGCAATAACGGGACAGGGTGGTTGTTCTCTCTATCTCCTCTTCTAGCTCTTAGCATGAGCTGCGCCCGGTGTCCGACCCCTTTTGCGCAGCAACACCTTAAACTTTTAGGCCCTCCAAATTCGGGTCGGAGCGTAGCGGAGTGGGCCCCGAGTTTGAAAAGGGCGACGGACGCTTGCGTCCTAGCCTCCAACAACGCCTCCCCGGCGCAGAGGGGCCCCCGGAGGGATGCACAACCGCTCCACGCCACGCCGCTTGCGGCGGTCCTCTTCCCAGCTCCGCTGAGGGCCCAACAAACAAACAAATAAAACAGACATCCCAAGCTAGGGCTGGGTCGAGGACAGACACGTCCCCACCTTTGCAGGATTTTGCAAAAGCGAGGGGGGAGGGCGCTGAGGGCCCGTGCCTTCTTAGGATTCTCCGACACTTTCTCTTCATCCCAGAATGGCTCTTCTCGCGCTATTAGGAGCGTCCCCGGCAGTGCTGCCTCCGGCGCGAGCGTTTGCTGCTCCGCGCCTCGCCCATCGCAGCTGCTGCGCCGTCATGAGCGACGGCGAGAAGCCGCCGGCGGTGGTCGATCCGGACGTGACGGCGGACAACCCCAAGGGCCTGACAGGCCCGCTCATCACGTACTCGGGCATCTCGCCCGAGATGCGCACCCTGGTCGACGAGGCCTTCCAGCGGCGGAATCGCGAGCGACTCCTCACGGACAAGCCGCCGTATGCGTCAGTCGAGGCGATGGTCGACGCGTACGTCGAGCTTGGCAGCGCGCAAGGGTGGACACGGGAGGACGCCGAGTCGGAGGTGGTGCGCTTCCTGCAGCGGCGTGCGCTGGCCGAGGAGGGTGGCTTCTCCGGCGAGCCGCAGGACTACGCGGCGCAGGTGCTCCTCGCGCTTCTCGTTGGGTCGATTGGCTACTCGACGGCAACGGGCGGCGGCATCTCAACGTGGGAGAACCCGTTCTTCTGACCGCCGCCGCCGGGCATGCCGCGCGTAACTCATAATTATGGCTTGCCAGCGGGTGGTCTCGGATTTCGCGGGTCTGCATCGGCATAATTTATAGGTCCGCCGCGAGAGCGATTCACGTTATAGATGTTCCAGTTCGGGTCCCGGCTCCCGCACCGCATCCGCAAATCCAGATTGCAGAGATATGGCTCGCAACAGATGTGCCATGCATTACTATTGCCCGAAAACACATCCAGACCACCTCCAATTTCGTACACCCCTCTGTAGCATGCACACGTCAAAAAGGGTCACATATGAACGAAAGGATGCTGCGGGCGGACCCTCACCCACCCTCAGCCTCACGCAGCTCACGGTCAAAAGGTTCACATGCCGCCTGGTCGCAACCCCTCAGCCCTCCTTCCGCGAGCCGCCGAATCCGCCCGCCGCGAAGTCAAACCCCATCGCCACCATCGCCGCCTTCTCCTCGTCAATCTCCTCCGCCTCGCCCTCGCCGCCCTCGCCGCCGCCCTTCCCCTTGGCCGCCGCGCGCGCTGCCCGCCGCTTCGCGGTCGCCTCCTCGCGCTCCGCCTCCTCGCGCTGCCGGATCCGCTCGTCAAAGTCGGCGAGGAACGCCTCCGCCTTCTGCTCGGCCGTCACCTATTGCACGTGTCGCGCAGACGCGTCGCCGGCGCGCCCGGACCGCGCCGGCTCGGAGCTCGGGGCGTCGCCTCGGAGGCGGCGCTGCTGTCGCGTTCCTCGCGGTGGGCGTCGAATCGCGCCTGGGGTCAGGCCCAGGCATGGTCAAGTCCTTCACGAGGTGGTGCGGGGGCAGGGGCTGTGGGGGGTGACGCCCGCGCGCGCTCCACCAAGCGCGGGCGTGCAGTCAGCCCGCGCAAAAGCGCGCACCTTGACCTCCTCGAGCGTGGAGCGCTCGGCGCGCATTGACATGCCCAGCATCCGGTTGTGCTTGCGCCCGTTGATGTGTAGCAGGTAGTTTGCCGAGTCGCGCAGCACGCAGTCGCAGACCTTGCAGTGATACGCAGCGCTGAAGGAGCCCGCCTGCGCCTGCGCGCCCGTCACCAGCTGGCGCGAGCCCTCGAACTTGTCCAGCCGCAGCTCCTCCGTCCGCCGCTGCAGCGGCGCGCGCTGCACAATCGGCGCCGGCGCCGTCTTCTTGCGCTCGCGCTCCTCCTCGAGCGACTCCTCCTCGGCCAGCCGCGCCTTGGCCTTGGCCTCGAAGGCCTCCTTGTCCCACTCGCGCCGGAAGTTGGGCTGCTTCGACAGCGAGCCCCCGCCAGGCACGGGCACGGAGCCTTCCTCGTTGGACATCTTCTGAAGGGAGGAGATAAGAATAACGTCCGGGCGCAACCACCCCCCGCCCGGCCGCAGGTGTCCGTGTCCGAGCCTGACTGTTCTTCACCTTCCTAACTAACTCCGTACCCTCCCTGGTGTTCCCTCTCTTGTACGTAAAGGTGTAGAAAGGTGTGCCCAACCGAGTACAAGACCGTCAAGAACCCTCCTCCGCCGGTGTTGGCATCCATCGGCCTGGCAGCCAGCCCTTCCCCGCGAATCGTTTTCCGTAGCAGCACTGGCTGAGGATGATGTGTGGGTCCGGCTCTGAGGGCGACGCCGTGCGCGGTGCCCGCTCGCCCAGCAGGCAGTCCAAGACGGGCTCGTAGACCTTGGCCCACGACCCACGGTGGCGGATGCGAAGCGGCCCCGCCGGCAAGCTGCGCAGCCGGTCTCGTAGGTGCGCGCACTCGATGCGAAACGTGTGGTTGGTCAGGCGCTGACGCCGCACGTCCAGTGCGTCTGGGAGGTCGCGCGCGAGTGTCACCACCCGCTCTGCAAAGGCCTCGTCCGACGGAGAGTCGGCTCGGTCGATCCAAGGCAGGACGTCGACGCCCTGGCTGGCCGCCAGCCTCTGCCCGTTGCCATAGTAGAGGGGGACCGCCCCGAAGCGGACGGGGAGGAAGGGCTTCTCTGAGAGGTACTCCATCCCCGGCTGGAAGCGCTCGAAGGCGACCACCATCTTCGCCTTTCGAATCGCGGCCTCGGGCCCTCCCGCCGCCACCAGCCGCGGCTTTTGCGACCCGCCGGTGCACAGTCCGGTGTACTCGAAGACGAGGACCGCCGCCTCGAGCGCTCGCCGCACGACGCCCACCAGCTGCTCCCGTCGCTCCTCGCAGCGGCTGCTCTGGTAGAGCACGTCGATGGGTCGCTCCCGTGTGGGCAGCCCGAGGCGGACCGAGTTGGCCGTGAACGGCGGCAAGTAGGCTGCATTGCGCCACCTATGGGGCACGGGCACGTGATGGCGATAGAAGTGTCGCTTCAGTCCTGACGGCAAGCTTCATCGCGCCACCGGTTGGCGCCCCCCGAGAGGAAGCAGAGGTCGTGGGGGCAAGCGGCTCCGGTCGCCTCGGCGAGGTGCGAGGCACAGTACGACAGTTCCTTGAAGCGCGGCGGGCAGGTGGGGTCGGGCTCTCCGCTCACAAGGATGGTCAGCGGCGCGCGCGTTGCATTCGTTGCGGCTGCAAATCTTCCATGAGTCGGGGGCTGCGTGTGCGTATGCTGCTCAGGTAGTGACACCCTCATGCTGCTGTTGGTCTGGCAGCCTCTTCGAGCGTGCGGCCGGTGCTGCGACCGGGAGCAGTGAGGGCAGACCGGTGTGATGAGGCGGTCATGGAGGAGGGTCGGGTCGGCCGGATCGAGCCATAAGCGGTGGCACTCATCCCCCCACTCAAAGGGGGGGCCAAAGACGGAGCGCGGCTCAAAGTGCCCGTCGAAGTCGAAGAACGGCGCCTGTTGGCCATCGGACGCCTCAGGCCGCGATCCCCCGAGATCATCCGAGATTTGAATAGGTAGCCTGGTAGCTCATTTGCAGCATCCAGCGAAACATGTTGGACGTCGAGTGCCCCAGCAGCGCGGTTGCGTGACGCGCGAGCGCCAGCACCGCCGACAGGAGGCCGAATGCCGAGGTGGGGATCATCCGGTCAACAGCCGTGATTGTCACCGTCCTGCTGTGCTGCTGAATCGCCGCCGCGGCGGCCGGGTCGTCGCTCAGCAGAGCGACGTGGGTGCAGCCAAACTCACGCGCTGCAGCCTCTAGGGTGGCTGCAACATGCTCATTCTCGACATGGACGGCCCCCTCCACCGCCTTGTCGCCGCGCCGGACGTGCACGCCCAGGAAGGGCTGTGGAAGCTTGGACGCGAGGTCCTGCACACCCGCCTCCAGCTCCCCGTTTGGAACGAAAAGCCGCTGGCTCCAGCGGCTGGCGTGGGCGAATGTGGAGCCGGCGGGGTACCGCTTCAACTCCGCACACTCTCGAGACCGGAGGCGCACCGGTTCAAACCAGCACTCGTGGCCGCGCTCGCACGCCGCACGGTATCGGTCGCCGACAATCTCCCATCGCGCAGAAGACGTTGAACCGTGCGCCTACGAGCGGGCACGTCAGGGCACCGGATTGGACATGTCAGGCTCCGGAAAGGGAAGAGTTCAAGCCGCGCTCCTCGCAGTCGAGCTTCGCGGTGGCCGTGAACACGTTTAGCTGCGAAAACAGCCCGTGAGGGTGCCTTACGACGGTCGCGAGCTCCGCTGGAGGCGGCGGAGCCGCCAGCTTGCAGGGACTCGCCTCACAGCCCTCCTCGCCGGGGGCGTGGTACTGCCCGCACCAGGCCATGGCGTCGGGCGGCGACGGCTGCATCGGCTGGCCGCCGAGGAGGACGTGGTGGAGGTGCTCGAACCCGCCGGAGGAGGCATGCTTGTTGAACCGCGGGCACTGCACGTGCACTTGATTCGCGCCGATGCCTCGCGCTGCGACTATGCAGTTTGAGGCGGCCAGACCCCCCTCAGCTCTCCTCGCCAGAGCAAGCTGCCTCTGCGAGGCGGCCGACAGCTTCTGTGCTTCGAGCGGTCCCGCGTTGCACGCCCCCGGTGGCCGCCCTCGCGAGCCTCCGAGCATCATCCCCAGTGCCTCCTCGTACACGCCCTTGCTGTGCTTTCGCAGCTGCTCGCGGCTGACGTGGAAGTTGCTGTTTGGGAAGAAGGAGACGCGGGGCGAGTTCAACTCGCCCGAGGGTAGCTGGCTCGACTGGCCAAAGACGGCGAGCAGATCCCGCCAGCACTGCTCCACAACGGGCATGAGCAGCGGGTCTGCCCTGTGCCGCCGATTGGCATCGGTAGAACGAATGGCAACCTTATCGAGCCTCCATGCCTCGACGCTCAGATTCGCCACAAAGGTGTCGTTCAGCGGCGCCCACCCCGTCGCTTGCCGTGAGCAGCGGAGCCACTCGAGAAAGCGGGGTTTGCGCTCATTGGCGGGTGCGATGTCGGCCTGCACAAACGCCGTGCGCAGCGGGAGGTCGTCGTAGTTGTCCACCTGCATCCAAACTAGACTTGGTGAACGATGGCGGCCAGCAATTTTGCAGGGCGCGAGGCGTGTGAGCTGCCACGAATCGCAAATACAGCGAGGCTTCGTGGCCGAAGTTGGCGATGTAGCCCGGAGCCACTGGGTCCTTGCGCTGATAGGACGTCACCACCTCGTAGAACTCGGACGGCGCGGGCCTCGCCCACGCGGCGACGGAGGACTGCCACTCGTTGTAATGGCTCACGACGACTACAACCGGTTTGCTCCACCTGAGGAAGGAGGGTGGGTGGGTAATCGATGATGCGTGCTGCGCTCCGGCACCTCTCCTCAGGGTAGGGGCTTGCTTCGATGGTCCTTGCGCCGACGAGCTTCCGCGCGAGTGGGCGAGGGGCATTCGGCGTGAGCTTTTCGCATTGGGAATTGGGAGCGTGCGTCTCACGCCTAAGTTTGCTTCAAAGAATTCCCCGGCCTCTTTTTCTTTTACACTGTGCTCCGCGAGGAGAGGAGCCTGAGCCAGGGGAGGGTTGGGAAGGGGGGGCGAGGCCGGAGGAGTATGACGGCCTCTTCGACGGCCCATAACGGGGCGTTGTCTGCTGTGCCTTTTGTGGTGCTAGTTCGTGCCAGTCTGCTGTGAGGGGCTTGAGGTCGTAGAATTCTTTTACTAGTACCGCCTCCGGGCGGCCTCCGGCCATGCAGCTAAAGCGCTGCCGGGCCGAGCCGGCGTCAGACATCGACGACCTCCACGAATCCGCCAGCAGCAGCGACGACGACTGTGCCGACGCCACCGCGGAGCTCGCTCGCTGGTGTCGCCAGCAGCGGCGCGAGGGTGGCGCGAGCGCCACCACCTGCGAGCGTGCGCTGCAGACGGCGCGTCACAATCCGCAGCGGGCGCTGCAAACGCTCGGTTCGTCAGACGACGGCCGGGCTTTTCTGCTCTCGCTGGTTCGCCGGAGGCAGTGCGAGCTCTCTGCGGCGACGGAGGCGCCTCGCCGCGCCGCACGTGCTCATGCGGCTCTCGGCAGCCTGCGCGAGTGCCTCGGCGAGCTCGGGCCGGCCATCTCGCACGTGGCCGCCGCAGCGCGGCTGCGCGGAGCGCTACCGGCCGCTCCCCTGAGAGACGCCACCCTTGCAGAAGAGCTCCGCCGGTCTCTCTCTTGCGTGGCCGCCGGCGGGCGCGGCGGTGGCGGCGAGCTGCTCTCTCACCTCGCGCGGCTGCTGCGGCAGCGGGAGCAGGAGGAGGCGCTCGCGCGGCTGCTGCGGGCCTCGCTGGTCGCGCCTCCCCCCCCTCTCCCCCTCCCGCGCGCGCCCGCCGGTTTGAGCGTCTCGGCCTTTTGGGAGGAGTACGCGTCGCGACGAGTCCCGGTCGTGCTGCCGCTCCCGCCCGGCGCCGGCCCGGCCCAGGCATGGGACCTGGCCTTCCTCCGCGCCTCGATCGGCGGCAGGGTGCCCGCGCTGCGTCGGAGGGACGCGGCCTCCACACAGTGGGCCGGCCTCGAGCCGGCGACCCTCGGCCCGCCGCCAGGCCCCGAGCCGGCTGGCGCGGCTGGCGGGCAGACTTTATCGGCCTCCTCCACCACCATGGTGGGCGCGACCACCGTCGCAGACTTCATCGACCGGCTCGACGCGACGGCGGAGGAGGCCGAGCCGGCGTACCTCTTCGACTGGTCGCTGCCGCAGCACTGCAAAGAGCTGCTCACGCGGAGGCCCGAGGGCGGCGGAGGCGAGGGCGGAGGCGAGGGCGGAGGCGAGGGCGGAGGCGAGGGCGGAGGCGAGGGCTTGTTTCGCGTGCCTCGCTACTTTGCCAACGACCTGCTGCAGCGGCTCTCTCCGGGCTCGCTCTACCGCGACGCCTGGCCGAGCCTCTTCATCGGCCCTCGCGGCTCGCGCTGCTCTGTGCACGTGGACACCTTCGGCTCGCACTTTTGGATGCTGCTCTTCGAGGGCGAGAAGCGGTGGACCATCTTCCCGCCCGAGGCGGCGCCGCTGCTCCGCCCGTCGTACGCGCACGGGCACGACCCGCTCTTTAGCGCCGACGTGCACGACGACGCGGCGGCGGAGGCGGACGAGCTGCTCCGCCGCGCGCCGCGCTGGGAGGGCGTGCTTCGGGCCGGGGAGTGCCTCTTCGTGCCGGCCGGCGCGCCGCACGCCGTGCTCAACTTGACGCACACGGCCGCCATTAGCTGCAACTACGTCGACAGCACCAACCTCGAGCAGGTGCGCGGCGAGCTGCGCGTCGCCGCTTGCACGTGCCCGGCGGCGCGGGAGGTGCTGTCGCAGCTCGACGCACCCGGCTTCGACGCTGCGGTCGACGCGGGCGTGGGCGAGGTGGGGTGGGAGGAGTTCAAGGGGGGCGCGGGGCTGGCCCGGCTGCGTGATAGTACTTCGTGAGTAAACAATAACCACGAGATGGATACGGCAATAAAAAACGACGGTCTTTACACGCTCGACCCCTATCCGCCTCAGTCTGAGCTTCTAGCCTGCCTCTCCTGGATTTTTCGTGCGTGTGACGTGTGTTGTGTGTACCTCACCTCTTCCTGCACCTCGCGTAGCGGCCGTCCCGGTCGTCGAGCAGCTCGACCGCCGCCGCGAGGGCGGGCGGGCGGTGGGTGGGCATGCTCGACGGGTTGAGCCCGGCGGAGCGCAGCGCCTCTCCCACCTTGGCGAGCGCGAGGCAAGGTGAGGCGACGTGAGGCGGGGCGGGGCGACGTGAGGCGGGGCGAGGCGAGGCGGGGCGGGGCGAGGCGAGGCGAGGCGAGGCGAGGCTGGGCGGGGCGAGACGGGGTGGGGCGAGGGGTCGGGCGCCTGGCGGTACACAAACACGTTCCCCTTGGTGGCGAGGTGGAAGCCGTCGTGCCTGCCGTCGGCAGGCGGCGAGAGAGGCGGGTGGGAGTGGGGAGGGCCTACTGGCTGCAGCTACCGCCTCTCCTCTCCGCACGTCGTGCCTGCCCAGTGCCGCATCTCGGATCATCTCGGATCGGGTAATGTCGCACGTCGTGTCTGCCCAGTGCATCAGCCGCGTGGTGAAGTCAGCCTGCAGGTCGACGCAGCGCACGCCCGCGCCCGCGGCCGCCTGGCGCACCGCCTCGGCATACGGCTTGAGCCGCTCGAGCGAACGGCCGCCGCCGAATCCCTTTCCGCCGGTCGTCGCCGGCCACACCTGCGGGTGTGGACGGCGGTCAGGCGAGGCGGTCTGCCAGCTTTAGCTGGCGGCAGGGGGAGGCGGGCCTGGTGGTTGATGGGCGGCGGCGTAGCGAGCAGGACGGCGGCGGACGGCAGCAGCTCCTTGAGCGCGCCGCAGATGGCGTCGAGGTTCTGGCGAAACTCGTCGCGCGGCACGCCGCCCTCCGCGGCGTCGTTTGCGCCGAGCGTGACGACGACCGCCGCCACCGGTGCGGCCGGCAGCGAGGCGACGATCGAGGCGAGGTCGGCGCGCAGCAGGCGAGAAGTCATGCCCGAGAAGCCTCGGTTGAGCACGTCCGCCGTCGTCCGCCACTGGTAGTCGCGCGCAAGCAGCGCCACCCATCCAGGGCCGTGCTCCTCGTTGCCGTCCGTTGCCCGCAGCACCTCTGACGCCAGCGGGGTGTTTTTGAGCGTGGCATCGGCAAACTTGGGTCCGACCACGTGGCTCCCGAACTCTGTCAGCGAGTCGCCGAGGCAAACGATGACCGGCCGCGCATCGGCCGCAGGCGCCGCCGGCGCTGCCTTGGGAGGCGCTGACTCACCGCCAGTCTCAAAATAGTCACGCAGCGCCTCCTCTCCCCAGCCAAACGCACAGCTCGGCGGCTCGAGGTCCTCGCAGAAGTACTCGGAGCTGAGTGCCTCGACGACCGCGCGCTGCGCCGAGGCGAGCTGCTCGAGGAGGAGAGGGAGGGAGCTCATTGCGAGTGCAGAGTGAGCGAGCGAGTCCAGCAACGAGCGTTCACGGCCCGGCGAAGCCACAGGCCAACTTTGTTTTCTTTCTTTTACGCGATTCACGCGACAGGTGGAGGCGCACAGGATTCAGGAGCAGTCACACCACGAATCGTGTTCTGCAGCGAAAAGAATTCGCTTGCGCCGCACTGAGAGCTCCCATCCCTCTCCCTTGGGTTGTCGCGTGGCTGTTTTCTTTCTTTCTTTCTCGGTCGTCCCACTCTGGTCGTTCTCTATCTTCTCGCTTCTTCCTCTGTCGCGTCGCTCTCCTCTGCGTCGTTCTGCGACGGCGGCGCCGCCGCCTGCCGATCCCTTGCTCTCGCTTCTTCTCTCGCCTTTCGTCGCAGCTCTGCGTTCCTGGCCACATAATTCTTTTTGTGTGCCCGCTTTTGAGAGCTCTCGCACCTCGGCCGGCGCTGCGATGACCCTTACGGCCGATGAGGTCAAGAAGATGACTGTTCCGAAGCTGCGGGCGGCCCTGGAGGAGCGCGGTTTGGACACGAGCGGGCTGAAGGCGGCCCTCGCCGACCGTTTGTTACAAGCGCTTGCGGCTCCTGCGGCCGACACTGAGGCAGAGCAGGGGGCGGCGGCGGCCGAGACGGATAAGAGGGCGGCGGAGGCCGAAGAGGCGGCGGCCAAGGAGGCGGCGGCCAAGGAGGCGGCAGCGGCGAAGGCTGCGGCGGAAGAGGAGGCGAAGAAGAAGAAGGCCGAGGAGGCGGCGGCGGCGAAGGCTGCGGCGGAGGAGGAGGCGAAGAAGAAGAAGGCCGAGGAGGCGGCGGCGACGAAGGCTGCGGCGGAGGAGGCGAAGCAAAAGAAGGCCGAGGAGGCGGCGGCGACGAAGACTGCGGCGGAGGAGGCGAAGAAGAAGAAGGCGGAGGAGGTGGCTGCGGCGGCGACGGCCGGTAGCAAGCGCAAGGCGGCGGAGCCCGCGGCTGCGGCACCGCCCGCGAAGCGGCCTGCCGCGCCAGCCCCGACGGCCGGTGGGCTCTCGCTCGAGGACTGGTGTAGCATCGAGGCGCGGCATTCCCAGCTGATTGGCCTGGCGCCGTGGCTGACCGCCTTCGAGTGAGGGCTCATCTCGCGCGAAAACTCGTGGCCTCGCGCGCTCCGCCGACAGGCGCCACGGACCCAGGACACGCTCCGTACGTCGTCCCTGCCCGCTCAGTGCGGCATTTTGATTGTCAAAACGCGTCCGTCTTGCCGCAGAGGATGCATGTTAATTATTTTGGCGGCGAACACACCCACACACGACATCGCCCACCACTCAAAACAGGACGGAGCTGTTTGTGGTGAGTGGTGAGAATCGAAACAATCGAATGAAAAAACACCAAACGCAACCCGCGGGGGTAGCCGGTGCCCCGGCGGCGCCGCTCGAGGGCGGCGATCGCCCGGTTCCCCCTCCATATTTTGTGTTCCTCTCTCGTCGGTTCACCGTTACACTCCGACACAAAAGCACAACCCCGATCCCAGAGCACGAACAGTGGAGAACGGGTGTTCACAGCTCGATATGGCGCCTGAAGTGCAAATGAGACCAAACCGCCGGCCTTTCTCGCGATTGAAAGCAGCCCAGGTGCTCTCCTTTTCTCGAAGGCTGCTGCCCTCCCGAGACCCCGTCTTCGGTGTGGTGGTGATGGGGTGCGGTAACTCCAAGGGGTACGAGATCGACCTTGACCCGCCAGTCGCAACCAAGCCGCCCGCCGCGACCGCGGAGTACGGCGCGGGCGCGGCCGCGCCATTCCGCCTCTCAATGGGGACAGGGGCGGAGGCGGGGTCAATCACCCCCGAGGGTACCTTCACTGCGCGCACGGAGACGACCAACGACGGGTCGGAGTCGCCCCGGTCGGAGATTGGCGATATCCTCCCGCTCACACCCAAGCGGGACTCGGACGCCAAGCTGCTCGACCACAACTTTATGCTCACCTCGTTGCCGAGAGGGGGCATGGGCTTGGGCATGCCCGTCGCCTACGAGGCGCCCCAGATGCCGGCGTCGATGAGCGCGGCGCTCGGCCCGGTGGGCCGGCAGCCGCACTCCTCCTCCGGCTCCTCCCCTCGCGCGGACGAGCCCGGCCTCGAGGGCCCTCCGACACCGCTGGGCGGTTTCGGGCTCAGACCGGCGTTCTCGGCGGTCGCGAACCCCGCCCTCGACCCCGCCTACCTGACCCTCCCGCGCCACCAGATGGGGTCGCCGCGGTATGCGCAGGCACAGCCGCGCATCACCAACTCTCGCAAAACCCCTTGCCGTCTTCTCCGATATTCCCTGCCGTCCCGCGGTCGCGCCCCCTCACCGATACCCCCCCCCCCCCCCGATGGGCAGGAGCGTGAGGAGGAGGCGAAGGAGCTGAGCTCGCGCCACAGCTCGCAGCGAGAGTCGAACAGCTACAGCGACAGCAGCAGCGAGGAGGAGGAGGAGGAGGAGGCTCCGACTCGCGCCAAGCCGGCCTTCAAGCTCAACATGTCTGCCGTGGAGAGGGACGAGGTGAGGGCTAGGGTGAGGGGTCGGGGCACGCCCCGCCCTCCTCGCCCTCCCTCTCCCACACGCGCCGCGACCCCCCCACCCCCCCACCACCACACACACACACACACACGTCTGTCCGCTGCCCACAGGTGGACGGCTCGAAGCCGGTCGCGGCACCGCACACGTGCAAGGAGGACATCCTGAAAAACCTCATGGCGGAGGGCGAGTCGAGGGAGGCGGCGGCGGGCGGGAAGATATCTTCGATTTGATGAGCAGTTGATGGCGCACGCGCGAGTGGAGAGCGGAATCAGAGCGGAGGATGTACCTGTCCTCTAACCGCTGTGTGTGGACTCGGGGCCGGAGGGGCGGAGGGCCAAAGGCAATGTTGACGAGTGGAGAGAGGTGGGGCAACGACGAAGGGTGTGGGGTGTCGCGCGCTGAGCGATATACCGCACACAGAGTGGAGAGAGCGAGAGAGTGGTTTGTGCAGAGATCACACACGAGCACGGCAGTCGGCACACATGAGTCATGACACAAGTATCAAGTTCGTCACAAGAAAAAGGACATGGACTCGCTCGTCGCTCGTCCCTCCGAGCTCCATTGCATCGAGCCTCGTCGTGCGTCCGCTGCGATTTGTGCGAAGTCCCGAAGTCATGAAGACCCCCCCCGATGGCGAGATAAACTCACCTTTGGCCTCACTGTACACTGAAGCAAGCCCTCAGTCCTGAATCCTCAGATTTTAGATTAGGACGCTGTCGACCCTCTACCGAAGCCGAACCGCGAGATCCGCGTCCGCGAACGCCGAAGCGCGATATCCATTTCCAATTCCATATATCGAAAAGGAATGGGCGCCGTTAGACGCTCGACGCTCTCTGTGCAAATTACGTAACATGCTACATGGCGCGCTCCCCCGCCCAACACCCCTAAGCCTATGCCCTACACGCTATACCCGCCGGGCAGCGCGACATCCAGATCGCAGATGGCCGCCCCGAGACCCTCCACTACGTTACGCTAGTTCGCTAGAAATTTACTACAATCTCAGTTTCTTTTAGCCGCGCCCGCGGTCCGCACCTCTCAAATGTAGCTTTTTAGACAGTATAGACTTTTTACTCTTTGGAGCGCCTGCGCGCGATCCGCAATCTGCAAACCAACGAGCAACGTGCAACTCAAGCCGCGCCCGCGGTGGCCCTAGCGGGTGGCCGGTGCCGAGAGACCGCCGTGTTCTGTATAAATCAAATATTCTTAGCTTCTTGCCCCCCTCCGAGACTGGAGACAGAACCCACCCACGTACACAGGAGAGATGGGACTGGTCTGCCCCCCGCCCCCGCTTGCCCTGACTGCACAGGATAGCGTGCCCCAATCGGCGACACATAGCGGGGGACCACTGCGCAAGGGGAGGGGGTGCGACGGCTTTCTTTGTCCTCTCGAGGGAATGTTCTCTCGGCGCCCATGGCCTTCTGAGGTTTCGTACTGATGACGTCCTTCTTGGCACTTCGGGCGTCGGTGTGTGTGTGTGTTCCCTCGGTAATGTGCTACGGGTACTAGTACGGGTATGGGCCGCCGGTTCGACGCTACCGGTCCACGAACATCTACTCTGCTGAGGTCGGCCGGTGGCACCTCGATGGTCGAGTGCCTCCGGTTCGAAATCGGCGAGTTGACCCTTATATTTTTTTCACACCTGAGCGGGCTCAATTTTGCTCTGATGCCTCCTACGTATTCGAACTCAAGTTCTCGGGCAGGCGCCCGGTGCGTTGGTCGTTTTTCGTCACGGGAGTGCCGTGTTCTGTATAGCGTGTTCGTGCGTTCACCGTTGTCCGTTCTCTCGCGCCGCTCCGCACACAAGTGAGAGAGCTCACAGCTCACACCCACACGCAGCCACGCACCTCTTCCTCTAGGGACGCGATTCCCGCGATACCCCGTCGAGCGTCGTACGCGGGATTCGGGTAGAGCCATCGTGCGAGGGGGGGAACCGTTCATATAATTGCGGCACAGCTGATGCCTGATCTGGCACTTCTTTTCGCGGCATCCGCGGCGAGATATGGCGGGATAGCGGGATACCCCCCGGCCCCGCGGAATACCGCGGGAATACGGGATACGGCGGGATACCGGGAGATACTGGGGCATAGGTGGGACATCTAGGAACTCGCTCTGCAGCCCCTCCGCAGCTGTCACGCTTTTGGTCGAAGATAATCCCCCCCCCCCCCCCTCCTGGACGCGTCCACCCTCCGTCCAATCGAGCCATCCCCCTAAAATACATACATATATCATTTTTACATGCAATGGGGTAGAGCGGAGAGAGATACGGCTTACGGGGAGATACTACGGGGAGATTAGCGGGATGCGGTGAGAGATGCTCTGTGTGTGCGTTGCGTGTGCGCGAGATATCTCATGCCCTCACATGCCTCCATGGGGGTGAGAGATGCGGTGAGATGCGGTGAGATGCGGTGAGATGCGGTGTGAGCGATGCGGGGAGAAGCGGGGTAGATATGGGGAGATATGGGGAGATATGGGAAGATATGGGGAGATATGGGGAGATATCAAATGAAAGAATCGTCCAGAATACTGAGTTCGACACAGCAGTAAGAGACCGCGGTATCCAACACAGCAGCGCACAAGACGTGCGGAGTCAAGACACACAACCGTGCGTGGACATGTGGCGAGAGGCTGCAGTCACACAGCGTCGAGTGTGTGAGGCCTCTCCTCACAGCAGGTTCTTCGACATGCCCTCTGCCGTGTCGAGGAAACGGATCCTCCCGCACGGCACCGGCTCGTTGTACGTGAAGTCGCTGAGGCCAACCAAGTCGGCCTGCAGCTGCTCGCTCACCTGCGCAGGCAAAAGGCGGCGTGGTGAGGGAGGCGATGGGGAGGCGTCTCGTGTGGTGTTGGGCGTTGCACTGCGTGCGTGCGGCGCGCCTTGTACGTGACATCGCCCTCGCCGAGCTGCACGGCGCCGTCCTTGCGCCGGTGGTCAACCTACAAGCCGGCGAGAGACGGCTCGGGGGCTCCTCCCCTTGCACGGCGCCGTCCTCCCGTCGCTTTTGACCTGGAAGTAGAGAGGCCCCGCCGGGATGCAGACGCCCTGGAGGGAAGGAAGGGCGCGTCGAGTGGCGTGTCGTGGCCTCTGGCCCGGGTCTCAAAAGTGTCGGAAGTGTCTCGGTCGCCACGGGTCTCAAAAGTGTCGGAAGTGTCTCGGTCGCCTCTTCTGGGAAGTCGACCGGCGCGGCGAGGTCGAGCTGGAAGAGGAGGAAGGGGTAGAGCGGGTCCGAGAAAAGGCCCCAGATCCAGAGCGAATCCTTTCGATCCTCGGGGTCCTCGGAGAGGCTCCACTGCGCAGGCTGCTCGCCAAGGCGCAGGCTGCCCTCGGGCAGGCAGCTATCCACGCTCAGCTTGCCCTGCGGCGGCTCGTAGCCCTCCTGCAGGCGGCAACACACGCCAGTGAGGCAAGGAAGAGCCCGAAGGGTCTCGGGAAGCGTCCCGGCACCTCCTCGGCGAATCGCACGGTTCCAGTGATCGTGACTGTGTGAGCGGATGATGGAGCCTTCAGGTCGAGCTTGACCTTCCAGCTCGACGCGGGCGTGAGCGCTCGCGTCGATCCTTTGCCGCCGGCATCGCCAAAAACCTCAACCGGCGCCTCCCATGTGGTCACGCCGGACGCAGAATTGTAGTAGTACGGCTTCCCCGACGCCTCGTCAATGACTTCGCGCCACCCCTGCGGCAGCGTGCGCTGGCAGCACGAAACCACGGAGGAGCGAGCGCGAGGTTGTGGGACGAGGAGGCCGGCCGATGTCGTAACAAGCCAGAGAATCGCGTTCAGCACCATCGTGCCAAAAGAATTTAACTCCGGCCCAAGTGCTCCAAGTCCGACTTGAGCTTCGGGTATTTACGAGCCGAACGGGAGGACGCCGGGGAAGAAGACTCCGAGGAGGACGAACCAGTGGAAATCCCGTTGTCAGCTGTCACGATGCACCCGAAGGGGACCCCAGCGCCAACATCATCGGTGGAGGTACAAGTGTTCGAAGAGAGAGTGGACCTGAGCAACGATATGACTTGGCGGCAAATGATCGCAGTGGGCGTCAGAAGAGTCGTCCTCGCGCGAGGAGAGCTTGATAAACTCGAGGGGCCAAAATATGCAGCCAGGAGGGCAGAGTTGCGCCGAAAGGCGGGAGAAGCCGCGAGAGCACGGGATAGGCAGGCGGCGGCAGCGTCGCAGGACGAGGCAGATGAGAGCGAAGCGACAGAGGAAGAAACGACAGGAGGGAGAACGGCGAGAGTGGGATGACCGCGAGGTGGCATGAAGGTTGCAGCGAGAATCGGCGAGGGACTGCGAAGGGAGATAGAAAGAGGCAGACGACCAAGGGTTAGGGTGGGCGACGGCTAACACCACACTCCTCTCCTTAAAATCCCTGTGTGGTGGCGGCGTGCCTTCCTCCCATCCCTCCCTTGAGGTCAGTGCTCAAACTTTACCGGTATGGGAGTTTTTGGCTAATCAAACCCAAGGCCTGCACTAATCAAAAAGTGGTACGGGATACCAGTTGCCTCACGGAAATCAAAGCGAGTCGGAGTGCCTTCTTGGTGGCAAAATCGGCAAAATCGGCAAAATACCGGGTATTTTGCGGGTATACCTGGAAAAACCCGGGTATACCCGGGTAATACCCGCACTTTTGCATGGTTTCGCCCCCGGGACCACACCGACAGCCGCTACAACTACTGAAAACCCCGCATACCACTTTCGCATACCACTATCCCATACCACTCCAAAACTAATCAAAATATCGCCAAATACCAGTCTCATACCGGTAAAGTTTGAGCACTGCTTGAGGTGTCTGTTTTCTTTCTTTCTTTCCTTTTCGGGTATGTACGTACGTACTTTTAGCTTACTGGGAGAAAAGAGAGAGGGGGTTTGTACGTAAGAGCTAGAGAGCCGTACTGGTACATTTTATACACAGTGAAAAGTGTTGGCGTCACCGCCGTCAGCGTCACGCCGTCAGTGTTCTACATCCTGGAGTGGCGTCGTCTGTCGGTGGTCTGACGAGTATCGTTTTTCGAGTTATAGGCACACACGCGAGGAGTCTCACTCTCAGTTTGGCCGCTGCCCTCACACATGCGCTAGCCCCGGGAGTGGGGCCGCCCTGTGGGCCGAAGCCAAGAGCAGAGGTGCATGTAGCGGGACGTGTCGAAGCCCTGCCCAGAGATCGCCGTGCGGGGGCCTGTGTGGCCGCACCTGGGACAGATGCGATGGATGGCTGCGTAGGCGAGGGCGAACCGCTCCTTGTCGCTCGTCCCTCCGTGCCGAAGCGTCGACGAGCCAAACGCGGGCGGAGGCTCGATCACGACGCAGCTGCTCGTCATTAGTTGGTCGTGGAGGCTCCGCCAAAGTGGCGCAACGATACTGGCGAGCGCCTCGCTCAGCCGCCTCGAGGTGCACTCGGCGAAGCGCGCCAGCGAGCGGTGGTCGATCAGCGCGAGCAGCTGTGCGCAGCAGTCGAGCGGCAGCTGCAGGATGTGAACGAGCCCGTCCTCGAGTCCGTCCTCCCGCTCAGCCCCGGCGTCGGGCGGTGCCAACGCGTCGTCGCGCGGTGCGACGCTCGCTCTGCCCTCGGTTGGCGCGGCTTGATCGGCGTACATCCACAGAAGTCCACCCAGCCGTTCTGATCGGTCAAACTTGACGGTGTGCCGTCTTTTTCTTTTGCGGGAGGAGGGAAGCAGCTCTTCCCCCAAATCCTGGAGTCATTTTCCCTAGAAAAACGTCGGCCCCGAGTGCTCCGCAGCAGCCTCGCTGGGCCAGAACGTCGGCCCGCGAGGTGGGGTGCTAGTCTGGGACCCATACGTGGCGGTTCCTCCCCTTGCTCCAAGCGCTTGCGCTTCGGCGGTAGTGATCTAATCACCCGAATACCACGTTCGGATCGCTCCTCATCGCAAACCCTGTCAGCAGTTCACCTAGACGGGTATGTTCGTAAGAGCTACATACACTGAAAACTCCGGCAGTCGGCCAGAGCAGGTGAACCTTCTTTTGTACTAGGCTAGGATTGAGAGCAGCCTCGCTCTCAATCCTAGAAGTCGAAGGATTGTGAGCAGCACTCGCTCCTCGCAATCGTAGCATCTCTGTGCGATTGTGAGCGCCTACGCTCGCAAGCCTACATCTTCTAGGACTAAGAGCAGCTCCGCTCCCAAGGAGCAAGGTGACTGGTGACGCCTACGTGCTACGACTACTACCAGCGCGCTCGCAATCCGAGCAAAGTCTAGGATTGCGAGCAGCTTTGCTCACAATCCTAGCGACAAGCCTCCGATTGCGAGCAAGAGCGCTCGCAATCCTAGAACTTTCGCCGATTGCGAGCGACACAGCCCACAGTCCTACGACTTCTAGGATTGCGAGCGGGTCCCCTCGCAATCGGTGCGACACTGTTGGATTGTGTGAGGAGACCCCCCCGGCGAGAGATGCTACGATTGCGAGGAGTGCTGCTCGCAATCCTTCGACTTCTAGGATCTAGGATTGAGCCAGGCCTGCTCTCAATCCTAGCCTAGTACAAAAGAAGGTTCACCGCCAGAGCAACAACACCGAAAAAGAAAGTCGTGCCCCACATACGAGGGAGCGCTACTGCTCGCAATTGGAGCCATGTTGCTAGGATTGTGAGCAGTGCTGCTCGCAACCCTAGACTTTGCTCGGATTGCGAGCGCGCTGGTAGTAGTCGTAGGCGTCACCACAGTCACCTTGGGAGCGGAGCTGCTCTTAGTCCTAGAAGATGTAGGCTTGCGAGCGTAGGCGCTCACAATCGTACAGAGATGCTACGATTGCGAGGAGTGCTGCTCACAATCCTTCGACTTCTAGGATTGAGAGCGAGGCTGCTCTCAATCCTAGCCTAGTACAAAAGAAGGTTCACCGCCAGAGCAACAACACCGAAAAAGAAAGTCGCGCATATGGCGACAGTCTCGCACGACTGGAGCCAAACCCGCACCGAGCTGACGCTCACGCTGCCTCTGCCGCCGGCTGCCACTGCCCGCGGCGTGCGGTGCAGCCTCACGCCGGCGAGAGCGCTCTCCGTCAGCGCAGCCGGCAGGCCGCTCCTCAAAGGCTCGCTGCACGCTGACGCGACGCTCAACACCTGGACCGTGGATTGCGGTGTGCTCTACGTCGAGATGGATAAGGCCGCCGCCCGGTTCTGGCCGCGGCTGCTGGTCGGAGGGCCCGAGGTGGACGTCAGTGCTCTCCTCGAGGCGGAGAGGCGCGAGAAGGAGCCGGCATACAGGCCGCCGCCGGGTGCGTGCCGCCGGCCCGCTCCGCTGCGCCGCCTCTCCCGCCAGACGTGCTCAGCCCGCGCCGCCGTCGCAGATGCGGCGGCCGCGCCGCGCAAGGTGTCCGACCGGGAGACGCTGCTCAAGCTCAAGGCCGAGTTCCCGCAGCTCGAGCTTCCGCTGCACGTGCCTCAGGAGGCGGCGCACCGGCAGTACACGGGCGCGCGGCGGGAGTTTGAATGGGGCGCGATCCCGAGCGACGAGGCGGGGCAGGAGGCGGCGCATGCGGAGGCAGTCGCGGACGGCAGCGGCAACAGAAGCGGCAGTAGCTCTTGTGGCAACGGAAGCGGCAGTAGCTCTCGCAGCATCAGCGGCAGCAGAAGCAACAGCAGCGGCGGCAGCAGTGGTGTAGGCGCATCATCGCAGTCTCACGGCGGGAGCGGCCCAGCCGCGTCGGCGGCCCTCCCCCCCTCCACGTTTGCGTGGGGCGCCCTGCCGGCGGAGACGGCTGCAGAGCGGGAGAGCGACCCACCACCCGCCACGTGCACGTCGCCGGTGGAGACGGCGTACAGCCTCCCGCCCTCCACGTTTGCGTGGGGCGCGCTACCGACTTGTTGAGTCTCTAGCGAGAGTCAAGTGGAGATCATTAAGAGCGTCGCCACAGCGCCGGCCTAGGGCGCCTCAGTCACACACGCGCCGACTCCATGTGTGCTCCATCGCGCAAAAAAATATGTATTTGGGGGATCGCGAATGCGAATGTTGGACGGAGGGTGGACGCGTCCAGGGGGGGGGACGAGAAAATGCCACATTATGATTATGAATGCAGTGCTCCAGCCTCCACGTACCCCGCACGTCCCTCGTCCGCGGGACCGCGGCATCCCCCACCCACAATGCTTAGGCATTGTGGGGTTGGCACTCCCATCGACCCTCATGACCTCCTGCGGTCTCTGAGATGGACACCAGTGGGTGTGGGACCACAGCCAGGATACACTCGAAGGCTGGGTAAGCAGTAGAGGTCGATACTCGACGCGTCCCACATGGTCTGTGTCGCTGTCGGCACGCTGTCGACAGGACGTCGAGCGACACCGGTGGCAGTGCCACCCAGGAGTGGTCGGGCGGTCTCCCGTCATGAGAGAGCCACCATGTGATCCGTATGATGGTTCCTGACAACCGCCTCAGTCACTTTTCGTCACAGTTCCCGCTCTGAGAGGAGCTGCGGGTCAGTTCGACAGCTGGAGCTGTGTCGCCGGCGTGCGGCGGCCTGCCTCCGGAGGTGCCTCTGAGGTGGACATTTTTTGGTCACCGTGAGAGAACGCGTTCGAATTTTCACTCGGGAACTTCAACTGAGCACGCGCACCGGCCAGGGCTACAATAGTGCCAGTGAGGCGGAGGCGCGAGTCGGAAGGCCGTGATTTGGTTTCGACATTTTCCGACAATCGCTGACGCTGTGAACCCAGCCACGTATGCCAAGCATGCCACCCCCGCCCTAGTAGGCCACATCCCTACCTCATCTGTGTGCTCTGCTGTTGGCGCGCTCGCTGCCTCGCACAGCACGCTCGCCACTGAGCGACCGCCTCGTATGCCACAAGGAGCGCAACGCCAAAAATGATGGCCGAGACGGCCAAAGCAGCGATCGCGTCGATCCGCGACGAATCCGTGCTCTCGCTGACCATCACGATGACGGAGCACGTCATCTCGGTAACTGTCCGCATCGTGTCGGTCAGCACGTGTGCGAGAGCCGACCACACGTTGAGGTCACCAGAGGAGCCGGAGGAGCCGATCCCCATCCCGGCGTTCCCGCCCCCCTCCGACGGCGGCTCGCAGACTGTGGCCCGTCGGGAGGAGGACAGCACCGCAGACCAGCCGCCGCGATCGCGCAGCAAGATGGAGCCGAGCATCCCGACGTCGATAGCGAGGTTGACGGCGGTGAAAACAAACATGAGAGGGCCGTTCACCTCCTCCACCTCACCACCCTTATCTCCCTCTCCAGTGGCGAGCAGTCGCTGCAGTGCCTCGTCGATGGTGAAGGCGGTGATGGCAAGGAGCGCCACGGTTGAAAGCCCTGCCGCAGATAGGTCGACTGCCGCCGCCGTGCGCTCGCTCGCCCCACGCACCTAACACAAGACAAACAGCCACACCTGGTCACACCACTCGTCGCACCGATCTGTGGCCGGGCTCGATCGCTGTGTGCTCGATCGCTGGGGCCTTGCCCTTGGTCTCGCACGCGCACCTTCAGATACTCGGCGCCAATGTTGCAGGCATACGTCAGTGAGTCAACAAACATGGTGCCAGTGTCGCTGAGGAGGGCGACCGAGTTGGCGAGCACTGCGCCAAAGCACTGCGCTAACGTGAAGACCGTGTTGAACGCAAAAGTCGCCCAAAGCGCAGAGAGGGTCGTTGAACCGCAGCACAGTCCTGGGCCAGCCGCTCTCTCCTTACCATCACCCTCATCATCCATGCGCGCCCAAGCAGATATACTACCAGTCGCCATGTCGCAACGCGTTTGGCCGCGCTTTGACAAAAGTCCGGGACGCGCCCAGTTTGGGATACGAGAACGGACCCTAAGTAGGCAGGCGCCGCCATCGTGCCCGGCCTGACCTTTCGACAGACAGGCTGATGAATGGCCCGCTGCCCCAAGACGCAGCTTCGCCAACACTCTCGCTCAGTGCAGCTCTCTCGCAACAAGGCGCGGAGTTTTTGCGAGTCCCTTCCACGACGCCGACTGCATCCTTTGTCGTGGCCACTTTCTTCACGGCCAGTGCAAGCCAGCTGTGCCGCGACTTTGCGGCGCGCGCACACTCGCTCTCACCGGCATTGGCGTCGGCGCTCCTCCCGATCGAGTTGGTCCCACAGGGTGAGGAGGTATTCTACCTAGCCTGGAAGCAGCGGCGCCAGGGAGGCAAGGGGGGGCGGTCCACCCCCGGCTCGTCGCCGCGGAGAGCGGCCCCGGCGGCGGTGAAGGCGTGTTGAGCTCTCTAAAGAAAGAATTTTACAACAAAGAAAGAAAGCACACAGATCAACCTAACTTGAGCTCTCTCGCGAGAGCGGTATCTGATGATTACCGATCCCAAGCTAGGGCTGGGTCGAGGGGACAGACACACACGTCCCCCACGCCCACCTTTGCAGGTTCGCGAAAGCGAGGGTTGCGAAGGGGAGGGGGCGCATCGCGGCGCGGAGAGAGCTGGGCACGGCCACAGAGTGGATCTACTCTCGCATAGGATACGCACTCGGCGGCACGAGGGCAGGGGCTGGGCCTCTCCTATCCCCCTCGCTCTCGGGCACCATTCATCCGACCACTTATCTAGGGGCTTCTACGCGATCGGCCGCGCTCCGTTATTAGATTTTTAGCAATACTTGGAGCACTTGGAGTGCAGTCAGTAACCTCACATCCAGGGCCGGTGAGCTGAGAAGCGCATCCAGCGGGCCGGATGATCGGGATCGGGCTACGGGCTAGAGAGCCCTGACCCCTATCTAGGGGGGGGGCGCGCATTCGCAGGGCAAGGGCCTTAAAGTAAACACGGGTCTCCGAGGGTTAGTTCTGCGCTCAATAGCAAACGTGTTTGTTTTGTTGTTTGTTGCGCTCCGTGCTACGAAGGTAGGATGGGAGGCTCGGGTCACTCCTCACTCGCCCGTGCAAATGGTCCGTACGTACGCCGAGATCCAGGCGCTGCTCGACGGCCGCGGCGAGACTCCCAGCGCTTCGGCCATCGCGTCGCTCGTGCCCGAGGGCCCGCTCCTCCTGATCCTGATCCTCGGCAGCACGAACGATGCGGCAGGAAAGCCGGACGGTGATGTGGCATTGCGTGCTCGCCTGGCCGTCGACCTCTACCGCCGGGCCTGCGCGGCCGGACGCGCGGCGCTTGTGCTGCCGAGCGGCGGTGTCGCGCCTGGTTTCAGCTTCAACCCAACCGAGAGGCCGCACTGGGAATGCGTGGCAGCCGCCCTGGAGGACGCCGGCTTGCCTGCTGCGGCGCTGCTGCGGCCCGGCCTGCCTGCGCTTCACACCGTCGAGGAAGCTCTGCTCTGCCGCACGCTCGCGTCGCACTACTCGTCGCGGGCGGGATGCGGTGAGCTGCAGCTGCTGGTCCTCACCTCGTGCTTCCACGCCCCGCGGACGCGCCACCTGTTTGGGCTGTGTTTCGGGCCGCACACCGCACTGCCGCTGCGGTGCGACGTGGCCTCCGTCCCCACCTGCTGGGACGCGTCCGCGCGCGCCGCGAGAGAGGCGCACGAGGCGGCCGCCCTCGAGGCGCTGCGGACGGCGCCGTTTGGGCCGTGGCTCGACTACCTGCGCGCCGCCCGGATCGAGGCGGCGAACCGGTCGAGGCGCTGGTCGCGGCGGCTCGAGCCGTCCCCCGCGGAGCTGATGAGTCTGGCGGAGGGCGGCGCGATGGCGGCCGCCATCGGCGAATGTGGACAGGCGATGGAGGCGTGCGATGTGTCGTCGGCAGTGCCGAAGTGACATAAGTCGACTTCACGCTTCGACTTTTCACGAGTTCACCACCAGCTCACCACCCTTTTATTCTACAGATGAAAACGGTCAACCTCTGACGAGATGGATAGCGGGTCGCCGTCTGATCACGCGCTTCAGCCTTCACGATACCGCGCTCCGCGGGGCGGCGTACCCACCGTTCTGCCGTCGTTTTCGCCGTCATTCGTTGCACGCGTTGGACATTATGCGTTCTCGTCCCCCACCGCGCGGCCCGCGGAGCCTCCAACCTATAGACACATCAATCGGCATGACAGGCGAGAGGCCGGAGCGCTCCGCGGGGGGCGCGCTCGTTCTAGTGCCGTGCGGGCGCGCCGCCCGCGCCGAGGCCGCGCGCCGGCCGACGTGTGCGACACGCCGAGAGAGCGCCTCTCTCCCGCGGGATTCCGTGTGAGCGAAAGTCGGTAGTAACTTCTAACTACTTGGGGCGTGCAGTAGCGAGGTTATGTGTGGACTTATGGTCTCGGTGTTCGCGGCCTTGCCCGCGCTGCTCCACTGCTGCACACAACCGTCGGTCTGTGTAGAGTAATCCTGTGTGTGCTCCGCTCGACTCGTCCGCTATGAATATCCTCGCGCCGCGCTCTCGCAGCAGCGGCACTCTCCTTGTATTTGTGCGACCAGCACGTACCGTATTTGTGCGACCAGCACGTACCGTATTTGTGCGACCAGCACGTATTTGTGCAGGCCCCAAAGACCGACGTCGATGGCGCGTCTCGTCGGCACACGGCAGCTGTGCGGTTTCTGCTGCGTCCTGCTGCTGTGCCCTCCGCCAACAAGGGGTAGCGAACTGGTGTAATTAGCGTATGCACACACACACACACACACACACCCAACAGTCACACACACCCGACACACGGGCGTGAACTGTGATGATTGCGGCTCGTCGCACAGTCGGAGGAGCCTCGTGCGAACCGTCTCAGCGCCGCTGGCGAGCGGGCGCCGGCTGCAGCACGGAGGCGCGAGCCGAGTCACTGGGCGAAGCCGAAGCATGCGTGGAGACACAAGTAATTGGGGACGGCGGCCAGGCGCAGGCCAGGCGTCGCGGCCCCGCAAAGAGCGGCCGACTGCACAAACTAGCAAAAAAGAGGTACCGTATTTGTACCAATGACGCGACACGACGTAGCTTTACACCACACGTTCAAAAGTCGAGAAGAAGCTGAGGCAGCACCCGTTCGAGGTGCTCCGGAGTGACCTCATCGCTGCCGCACGACTCCGCCTCCCTCGCCGCTCGATGCGCCGCCTCCGCGGCGAAGGCTCGGATCAGGGATGAGGTCAGCGAGAGCGCCTCGGGCGCGATCCTGTGCTCCTCGTTGAAGCCGGACGCGAGGATCTGCTTCAGCACTTCGTCTCGCATCTTGAGCGTCGGGGCCTGCTGGACTGCGGGGCCGCCACCGTCCGAGTCGCTCATGAAGCGGCCACACGCGGTGTTTTCCCACCGCCGGTGGTTACTTTTTTTGCTTTGGCCGCCCACGCAAAAAACAAGGCCGGCCCTTGCGGTGCCCCTACCTACCTACCTACCTACCTACCTTACTTATGGGAAACTAAAAAAGAAATCACCGGAACAGTGAAGGGGTACTATACCAACTAGAGCGATGGGTTGGTGGTACTTACTCTCCTGCAACCACAGTCCTTCTTGTGACATGGCAGGCCACTCTCAAGCCCTACAAGCATCAGATCACCCATTTGGGGAGGGTTGACATCGTGATTTCCGCGGAAAATTTCTTCTTTGAAAATTCCAGCTTGAAGAGAGGGAAAAACCCGACGGGAGGGCCCAGACCTACCCTACCTACCCCGTCATCAGGGCCGGCCAAGCAAAAAAAGTACACACCTGCCACCGCCCGTATAAATGAGAGGTATTAAAATTGAAGATGTTGGATTGTGAGCACTCCTCGCAATCGTAGCATCTCTGTACGATTGCTAGCACCTACGCTCGCAATCAGCTCCGCTCCCAAGGTGACTGACTGGTGACGTCTACGACTACTACCAGCGCGCTCGCAATCCGAGCAAAGTCTAGGATTGCGAGCAGCTTTGCTCACAATCCGAGCATCATGCCTCCGATTGCGAGCAGTAGCGCTCGCAATCCTAGAACTTTCGCCGATTGGTTTGCGAGCGACACCGCCCACCAGTCCTACGACTTCTAGGATTGCGAGCGGGCCCCCTCGCAATCGGTGCGATCACTGTTTGGATTGTGATGAGACCCTCCCGGCGCGCTCACTCACAAGCGCTCGCGGCTGGAGCGATTGGGAGTGTCCTCTGTGCGCCTGCTAGCAATCCTTGGATCTTGGGTACGATTGTCAGCGCCGCCGCTCATAGTCCTACAAGATGTAGGATTGCGAGGGAGCGCTACTGCTCGCAATCGGAGGCATGTTGCTCGGATTGTGAGCATTGCTGCTCGCAATCCTAGACTTTGCTCGGATTGCGAGCGCGCTGGTAGTAGTCGTAGGCGTCACCACAGTCACCTTGGGAGCGGAGCTGCTCTTAGTCCTAGAAGATGTAGGATTGCGAGCGTAGGTGCTAGCAATCGTACAGAGATGCTACGATTGCGAGGAGTGCTGCTCACAATCCTTCGACTTCTAGGATTGAGAGCGAGGCTGCTCTCAATCCTAGCGGTCTACAAAAGAAGGTTCACCCACACACTGGCGCGCTGCAAAAGAATTTTACGCTTTAGAGGGCACAAAAGAATTGCGCAGCCCACTGGCCTGGATGGCACAGGGGAATCCCTGGGACCCTATCGTGTGGGTGAACCCTGCCCAGTCCCCCTCCCTCCGTGTCGCGATGCGCTCCCCACCCACTCCCGTTCCCCTGTGTCCCCTGATCGTCCGTCCTTCCAAATCCTGCTCGTGCAGGTGGGGACCCTGTCCTCCTCCCATCCCTCGTTTGGGTTGTCTGTTTTCTTTCTTTCTTTCTGGCACAGGGGTGGGCGACGGCTAGCACCACACTCCTCTCCTTAAAATCCCTGTGTGGTGGCGGCGTGCCGTCCTCCCATCCCTCCTTGGGTTGTCTGTTTTCTTTCTTTCTTTCTGGCACAGGAAAAGACTTCATGCACATGGCACAGGAAAGGACTTCATGCACATGGCACAGGAAAAGACTTCCTGCAAGGAGCCTGCCCGCCCCCTCGACCTGCCCCCGTGCCGCTGCTACCGCCCGGCTGCTTCAAGCACTACACGTCGGGCGAGATCACGCCGGCAGCCCTAGCCAGGCCCCGCGCGCTGGCCGCGACCGCGACCACGGCTCTCCCTCGAGCCCGAACTGCCCGTCAGACGTGCCGGAACCGTCCGACTATAGCGACTAGCACACCTCAAGTGCTCAAGAGTCCCCAGAAACCCCGAGGAGTCACACAGTCCACCTGTACCTGTGTGATGCACGCCCTGCGAGCGGGGCGGGGTGCGCGCTGTACCTCTGTGTTCGTGCGTCGCCCATCTCTCATGGAGATGACTGCTATTTATTTATCCGCTGAGTGAGTGCATATCCGTAGGCTATGCGAGAGAGACCGGAGCCCCTCTATCCCCATGCCTCCTCTTCTCCGCGCCGACATGCAACAACATCCGAGATGGATGCACCCCCTACCCCTCGCCCTTGGCCTTGCAAAATCCCCGCAAGGTGGGGACTCTAGAGGATTCTCCCAGCCCTAACTTGCGTCGGTCCCTCCACTTCCCTGACGCATACCTTCCCCGCTGCGGTCCACGCTCTGGAGTCTGCACTGGTCAGTCCGAGGTGTCTGACCGACTCTCGAGGACCGGACTTCGTGAGAAAACGTTAACGGTTCGGTTCCAGTTCCACCACAAGGAGATACGAGCTGGTAGATTTTCCCTCTCGGTTAGCGGTTTCACAGCCAGACACCGGCCCACTCGGCACGCACGCTCATTTCACGCGACGTCGTGCGCCCACGCACCACTTATGCGCCACAACAAGCGCGCCGCTCTCCCTTCGCCAGGACGCCAGCCGCGGCCCGTTGGGCTCACTCCGTCTCCGGGGAGCGGGCCTGGGGGGCATCCGCCAGGCCGAGGGCACGCACAGCGTCGCACGACTTGGCTACAGAGCCTTTCGGCGCTTGGTCTCGGCCTCGCCGGCCAGGTCGCGCTCGGCGTTGTGCTCGTCGTCGCGAGCGGCGCGGGAGCGGCGCTGGCTAGAGTAGGCCATCTGACCGCCTAGGTCCCACGGGCCACGGAGCCCCTGCCCCTCCTCCGAATGCCCCCTCGCCTCGTCTCGGGGGAGCAGCTCCCAGAGTCCCCAGTTGATCTCACGCAGTATCTCCAGCTCCATCGCCTTGATGGCCTCAACCGTACTCGTCTTCGAATAGGCCACAAGATTGCGGAGCGCCCATGGGAGCAGCGGTTCTAACGTGTACACCTCGTTGAACTTGCAGGCGAGGCTGAAGCTGCCGAGCACGGCGTCGGATCGTTTTTTCTCATCCGTCAGAGGGTCGCCGCACGACGCGATGTAGCCAGTGAGAACGTTCATCGCCAGGCCAAAGGTGCGGTCGCCGATATGGTAGTCTACCCCTGTCAGCTTTGGGTCGTTCTCGATGTCCTCGAGGAGTGCAAGTAGCCGGGCGGGCACAGGTCCCGGCTGGGTTTGGTACGCGTCGGTGCCCTCGTCCGTGACGAACGGGTTGCGCGCCTCGATGGCGTCGAGGCGCACGTAGCGGACCGTGGCGCTACACAGGTCGTTGCTGACCGAGGCGCGAGACTGCCGCTCTGGCGCGATGTCGGGGGCGGCTGTCATGTCGTCGGCTTGATCCTGCGGGGCAGGCAGCGTGCGGTGCATGGCGCCGCTGCGGGTGCGGAGGAGTGGGGGACGGCGAGAGGCGAGGGGGGGCGAGAGGACGACGAGGCCGAGAAGCGCCCGGGCAGGCTCCGGGCATCGGCGTGTGTGTGAAGGGGGAGGTTCGTGCTGTGCCGCGATGAGAGGGCGCACGCGGCACGATCGGGCTGCGTGCGGGAAGAATATCGCGTGCCGCACCTGCGTCACACACCGGCGCGGCGTGACGAGGCTGTCACCGGCGACTGTGTGCGGGCGAGCAGCAGAGTGGTTTGAAGAGTGGTTTGGCGAGAGCGGGTGTCGTGGGGCAGGTCGGGCAGAGACGGCGGCTACAATATGATACGGCCGGTCATATCATGCCGCGGGCCGGGGACGCGCCTGCGAGGGAGGGAGCGGGGTCTTGCTTAGACGGCAACGCGAGCGCGACGTGACGAAACGAGGGGGCCGCGGGCGAGTCTCGTCGCGTACCGCGGCCGAGACTCAGGGGGCGATGCGAGCGGCTGCTCGCGTGTGAGTGCAGGCCGTGAGTGCTGGGCGGTGCAGGCGGGTTACGGGCGGAGATGGCCTTTCGAGGCGCACCGAGAGAGCCAAGAATATTAAAAACTCTTTTGAGCCGCCGACCTCGCACCAAGGGCTCCAACTGCTCCACTCCAAGTGCTCAAGCGTGAGACGCCGCACTACATGTACAGCCCATTGGCTTCTCTGTTTTCTTTCTTTACTTACAGACCATCACTCGCCCGACACTACAACGGCTAGGCAGACCTCACCAGTCCGATAAGGATCAACTGGAAGGTTGAACCTCGAGCTTAGACAGAACGGGCGCGACAGACTCCAGGGGAGATCGCGCTCTACTCGGGGCACCAAGGAGGAAAACCGAAACCGTTTGGGTGCCCCACAAAAACCCAAACGCTACAACCTCGTAAGCGTCACACCTCCCCCTCACGCCCCCCCCCTCGGAGAGAGTGGGGGGGGGGGGAATAGGAGGAGCCGTCGAGCTCGGAGTAAGGTCCACAGTAGAGAGGCAGGCATTGAAGGCGGAACTTCACCCTCTTTCACCTTGAGTACATCTAGGCGCCCTGGTTCGACGTGTCTCAGGATAAACGGCCAGCTTCCCAACTAGGGCAGCGGGAACCCCCAGCGACGGGACGCTAGTGTGGAGCCTACTTAGATCTTAGTACGCGATCCCGCAGCCGGCAGGGGCCAGGGCAGGGGGGTGTGGATCCTAGAGCTCTAAGGGGGGATAGAGAGAGAGGAAGGGAGATTGGTGTGCCGGTTTTTCGCGTAGCAAATTTTTTTTACAGACCATCACTCGTGATCAGCCGCACGATCGCCTCGTAGATCGGGCTGCCCACCAGCGAGAGCGACGGCTCTTCTAGCTTCTTGGCGAGCAGCGACAGCAACTCGGCGCGCAGTTGCTTCAGGAGCGCGCCGACGCGGCCAGAGGCGGCGATGGTGATGTGGCCGTCCACCTCGACCGTGCCCGCCTCGGCGTTAACAACGAGCGAGCCGCCCGCGAAGAGCAGTAGCGCGTACGGCGACACGCACGTGACGTCGCGCACAATCAGCCTCCCGTCTCCGCCCGCCGGCGCCACCGCCTTGGCCGCCGGTGCCAGTGCCGCCGCCGCCGGCCCCCTCGGCTTGGGTGCGCCGCACCGGAAGCACGCAGGCTTGGACGCAAAAACCTTTGCGCCGCACCGCTCGCACGTGTAGTCGCCCGCAGCCGCAACTGCCGCCACCCCCGCGCCCCCCGGCCGTGGCGCCTGCAGCCTCTTGCCGCTGTAGACGCACCAATCCGAGGGCAGCTTGGGCGAGGCGTAGATGCTGCAGCCCGGCTGCAGGAAGACGCGCCCGCCCGCCCGCCGCTCCGCGAGGTAGAACTTGACGATCCCGCGCTCGTCCTCCGCCTCCACCGCCCCGCCCACCGTGTCGACGAAGCGCGTGTCGGGCATCCTCGCGCGCAGCACGTTCGGGTAGAGGCCAGCGCACACGATGGCGCGCACGAGCGACGCGTGGTGGACCGAAGCGATCCCCTCACCCTCGCCCTCCATCGCCTCCCGTGTGCTGCTGGCGAAGCCGAGGTCGGCCAGCACGCCGCTGAGCTGCTCGCGCAGCGCGTGCAGCTCCTCCAGCGCAACGTGCGAGAGGAAGTGCTCGTCGCAGAAGCGCCGGCCAGCGCCGCCGCCGCCGGCGCGCCTCGCGCCGCGCCAGCCCTCGTAGGCGCGCAGGTACGCGAGGTGGTCCGAGTGCTCGCCGGTGAAGGGCTTGCGCGCCGCGTCGGCGGCCTGCGGCAAGGGCGAGGCGGGTGCGAGGGGGGCCGGGAGGAGGGGTCCGGGAGGGAGGGGCCTTCGGGAGGCGTGTGAGCGCGGGTCGTGAAGAGGGGGTCTCGGGAGGGGCCTCGTCGTGTAAAAAGTCGCTACGGCCCGCCTGGCGCTGCTCAAAGGGCGTCAGGAAGGGCGACCGGCGCGTCGAGAGCGCCGCGGCGATGGTGAGCACTGGATCGATGCAGCCGAGGAGCGCACCGTACAGCACCATCTTTCCGACGCGCACGTCGAGCGGCATGCGCGCAAGGTGGGCTCCGAGCGGGGTGAGGGCGTCCGCCGCGTCGAGCGCGCCGGCGAGACGGAGCGAGCGGCATGACTCCTCCACGGCGTCGGCGCTCGGCGGCTGCAGCGCGCGCGCGAGGAAGGGGCCGGGCGGGCCGAGGCCGAGCGAGAGGATCGAGAGGACCAGGCCGGCGAGGGGCGTGCGCTGCATCTCGGGAGGGGTGTGCTCCGCCATCCGCGCGCTGACCGCGCGCGAGTAGAGCGCCCAGTACTCGCCCTCCCGCGTCCGGCCCGCGCGGCCGCGCCGCTGCTTGCGCGACGCGAGCGACACCTGCGGGAAGGGTCCGAGAAGGTTCGGGCAGGTTCCCACCGACGCGGGCTTGCGAGACGGGAGAGCGGCACCCATCCCTCGGTGAGCGAGGAGTACTCGCCCGCCGCGTCGTAGCCGGCGAGCTTCACGCGGCCGCTATCGAGCACGATCGCAACGTCCGCGACGGTGAGCGACGTCTCCGCCACGTTTGTGGCGAGCACGACCTTTCTCACGCCCGGCGAAGGGGGCGCAAAGACGCGCTTCTGCTCGGCGGCGGGCAGCTCCGCGTGCAGGGGCAGGAGCAGCCAGCGGGAGGCGGCGGGCGCGAGGGCGAGCTCGCGCGCGAGGGTGCGGATCTCGGCGACGCCGGGCAGGAAGAGGAGCACCGCGTGGCCCTCCGGACGGGAGGCGTCGAGGTGCGACAGCAGCGCCGCGATGAGGCCGGCGGGGCACACCCCGTCCGGCGGAAGGCGAAGCAGGCTGCTGCGCGTGCTCTCCGAGTAGCCCTCGCCCGCGCCCGCGAGCTCCGCCTCCGCGGCGTCGCCGCGCAGCAGCGGCTTGCCGCGCACGGCCCACCCCGTCGCCTCGAGCGCATCCTCCACGACGTGGTCGGTGATGGGGAAGGTGCGGCCCGGCACGGTGAGCACGGGACAGCCTGAGGGGGGCGAGGGGCAGGCGGCTCAGGCACTCAGGCGACTCGTGGCGGGCGACTCGTGGTGACTCGTGGCGTCTCGCCTCCAAAGTAGCCGGAGAAGGTGGCGGCGTCGAGGGTCGCGGACATGAGCACGACGCGCAGCGCGGGGTTCGCCTTGAGCGCGTCGCGCAGGATGATGAGCAGGAAGTCGGAGTCGAGGGAGCGCTCGTGCACCTACGGCTCGGCCGCCCTGGCGTCACCTCGAGCACGACGATGCGAGTCGAGGGATCCCGCGCAGCCTCGTCGACGACGACGTGGGAGACGGAGGCGAGAGTCGGCTCCGACTGCAGCCTGGGAAGAGAGGGGGGAGGGGGGAGCTCGGCTGGTGCGGGGGGGGAGAAGGGGCTGCAGCGGAGGTGAGTCAGAGGCGGAGGCGAGTCAGAGGCGGAGGCCGGGCTCGCTTGCCTCGAGGGCCGGGGGAGAGTCTCCGGCACGTGTGTGTGTGTGTGTGTGTGTGTGTGTGTGTGTGTGTGTGTGTGTGTGTGTGTGTGTGTGTGTGTGCAGACGCTGCCTCGCGGAGGTGTGCGGGGGGGGGTGCGGGAGGCGCACCTCCGCAGCAGCACGCCCGTCGAGCAGAAGAGCAGCTTCGTGCGGGGACCGCACTTCCGCTCGAGACGCACCGCGTAGCCGACGGTGCCGCCCGCCTGGCTGCCGCCGCGCTCCGCCGCCACGCGCTCGGCGAGGGAGATGGCGGCGATGCGGCGCGGCTGCGTCACCACGACAGAGCACTCGCCGCCGCGGCCCGCACGGCAAGCCTCCTGCGGCAGCGGAGGAGGGGCGAGGCTCGATGGGCTGCGCTGCGGCTGGGCGCTGCGGGGCGCGCGGCGAGAGAGCGGCCGGCCAGCCCAGCGCCCATGCCGGCGCCCGTGCGGCGCCCGTGCGGCGCGGCAAGCCGAGGGCGCGGCGCGGCTGGGGAGCGGGCGCGCCTCGAGCAGAAAGTGCGGGATCTGCGTGCTCTTGCCGCAGCCGGTCTCTCCACACACGAGCACCGCCCGGTGGGCGCGCAGCATTGCGCACAGCTCCTCCCGCACACCATGCGCCGGCAGAGCCGCGCGCGCCGCACGCACCTCCGTGTGCCGCTCGTCGGAGTCGAGCCGCCACTGCTCCGCCGCCAGCGCCTCGCTCTGCCGCGCAACCTCGCGCGCGCTCACCCCGCCGGCCCGCTCCCCGCCCCGGCCGGCGCGAGCGCCGCGGCTGCCGCTGCTCCGGCCGCCGCTGCTCCGGCTGCGCGCGGCATGTGGACCGCCGGCCCCTTCTTCCGCCGCCGCCTCCTCGCCCGCCTCTAGAGCCTCCGCCTCGTCGTCCTCGACCTCGCCGCTGCCCTCCCTGCTCGCCCCGCCGTCGCCAGCCTCCCCCGCCCCGTTTGCGAGGCCCGCTGCCGCTGCCTCGGCGAGCAGTGTCGGCCCTCCGTCGGCGCCCGTCACCGCCGCCTCCACCTCGCACGCCAGCTCGTGCACGGCGGGGACCCCCTCCGCAGCCAGCCGCGCGGCGGCGGCGCAGAGTCGGACGGCGAGCGCGCGCAGCGCGGCGGCGGCGCGGGGCGGCGGCGCGGCAACGGCGGCGCAGAAGCTGGGCCGCGCGCCTGCGGCGAGCGGGTAGCGGCAGCCGGCCGGTATCCACAGCTCGAGGTGGCCGGGCAGAGGCAGCTCGCCCATCTCGAGCCTGAGGGGGGCGCGTCGCGGACGTGTCATGGACGCGGCACGGGACGCGTTAACATACGCCCGCCCGCCGCCAGCCTCCACACGCGCCCGGCGCCGCAGGCGGAGGCGGAGAAGCGCCCCTCGTAGATCGCGAGGAGCACCTGAGGTGCGGGGAGGGTCGTGGAAAGCGACACGTTGAGAGGTGGCCCTCGCAGTAGCTACGCATCACCTCCTCCTCCTCGCCCGCCGCCTCCTCCGCCTCCTCCTGCGTCGGCTCGCTCTCCGTCGCTGCCGCGGCCGGCGCGAGCGCCTCAAGAGCCGCCAGCAGAGCCGCCTCGTCCTCCGCCTCTCCAAAGCCTCGCCTCGAGCCAAAGCTCGCCCCGGTCGCGCCCGGCGGCGGCGGCGGTGCCACAGCGGCGGCGCGGGCGGCGGAAGGCGCGGCCGCGGCGGCGTCGGCGGGCTCCGGCCGTCTCGCTGCGATCAGCTGCACGCGCTGCTTTGGCGCAAATGCGGCGGGCAGCCTCGCCTCCGGCAAGTTCAGGCAGAGCCACTCCACAGCGGCTGCACGCCGCCCGCCCGCCGCACCCGGCCCCGCTGCCGCCGCCGCCGCCGCGGCATCGGCGTGGCCGAAGCCGAGCGCCGCAAGCTGGCGGATGAGCGCCTCATCGCCGGCGGAGCAACCGCCAGACTCTGCGCCCGACTCTGCGCCCGACTCTGCGCCAGCCTCTCCCTCTGCCGCCGCCCCGCCGCCCTCCATCGCGCCACCGCCGCCGCCGCCGCGCACCGCCTCGAGTGCGGCGAAGACAGCCTCCCTCGCGCCCTCGTCCAGCTGCAGCTCCGCCCCCGCACCGCGCCCGCGCCCGCCGCCGCGCCCGCCGCCGCCTCCACGCCCGCCGCCGCCGCCACCGCCGCCACCACCGCCGCTGCCGCTGCCGCCGCGCCCACTGCCGCCACCGCGGCCGCCGCCGCCTCCCCGGCCTGGCGGCGGTGGCGGCGCGGCTTGCCACGCCTTCCACCGGTCGGCGTAGAGGTCTGGCAGCTTGAGGTGCAGCTGCAGCGTCGGTGAGATCTGGACGGGAAGGAGAGGCGGCCGTCGGGCGCGCGCTTCCGGCGGCGGCAGCGTGGACACAGCGAGAGGCGGCCTCGCAACGCTCTGGAGGCGACGACCTGTGACTGGGTGTGGGTCGCGTGTGTTTTGCGGGAAGTGTCTCGGAAGCGTCTCGGTTCCTGAAAGAGCACGTACAGAGCCGCGGTGTGCTGCGCGTCCTGCGCGCTTGGGCCGCCAACCGGCGCGCTGAAATGCGAGTCTTTGGCCTTGTCCTTGCCGTCGGGCAGCCGCACGCGGCAGAAGTGCTCGCCGCCGCGCTGGCTCGAGTAGTACTCTGGCTTTGGCGCCTTGTTGCGCTGGCAGTGCTCCTGGAGCAGCTGCTTTGGCAGGCGCTGCCACTGCTTCAGCACGATGCCGCCGCCCTCGCCGCCGCCGCCGCCGCTCCCGAGGCTCACCGCGCGGTCGGGAGCGGCGCTCACGACGTTCGTCTGCTTGAGGCGAGGCCTCGGCTTTGGCTTGGCTTGCTCGGGCGCAGGCGCCGGCTCCGCCGCCTTGGCCTTCGCTAGAGCCTTCGCCTCCTTGGTGGAGAGGGCGGCGACCTTCTCGCGGCCCATGCGGGCCGGCGGAAGGGTGGGTTCGAGGGTTTTCTTGTTTTTGCACATTATACGTAATACATGCTCGTGGGCGGGTGGAGCGCTCGCACGCCACGCGCAGTCGACGCGACACGTCGCCCGGGCCTCTCCGGGCCTCTCCGCCGCAGCTCAGCGCCGCCGGAGAGCGGCCCGGCGTCAATATGCTCACCTTTGTGATGCTCTTACACACACATGCCGGGCGCGAGCGGGCAAGAAAGAATTCTGAATTCCTCGTCTCGCGAAAAAAAAAAGTTGGTGATAAATGTTCTCTTCCGCCTTCGCCTTCCTCCTGTCCCTGTCGGTGCCCTCCAGCACCGCCGTCCGGGGCCTCGCCGTGCCCTCCAGCACCGCCGCAAAAGCGCGGACGCTGCGCGCGCTCTGCCAGGTTGCGCGGGTCCACAATAGCCTGCACGCGGCGCGGGAGCGGCTCACCGATCCGGGCGGCAGGACGGCCGCGGAGCTCGCCGCTCTGCCCGGCTCGCTCGTGGGCGAGAGCGTGTCTCTCGCGAGGAGCCTACGCGCGCTCACCGCCGCCGGGGAGGAGCCCTCAGCGCCCACATCATCGCTCCACGAGCTTCGCGCCGAGGCGTCCATCCTCCACGCCGCGGTCGCCAAGCAGCAGGCGGAGCTCGAGATCCTGGAGGAGGAGGCGGAGCTGACGAGCTGCACGGACCGCGCGCGGAGCATGTTCGAGCTGCTCGATGCGAACAGCGACGGCACGGTCGACATGGACGAGTTTGTGGAGCGAGCCACCCTCATCACGCCCGTGCCGCAGCTCCAGTTCCAGGCGCCACGCTCCTCCGAGCAGCCTCCGAGAGGCCTGCGCACGCTCGCGCCGCGGCACCGACTCGCCGCCCGCCCCCGCCCCCTCTCCGCAGGCGCGCCTCTCCGAGATCTTCGTCGTGGCGGACTCGAACCGCGACGGCGCGCTCGACTTCAACGAGTTTGCCTCGATGCTGTCGACTCTCTCGCAGGACGCCCTCGGGCCTCTCCGCGAGACGCGCGCCGCCTCGCTCGCCCGCCTGCTCAACGTCACCCTCGAGATGACGCAGCTCACCCTCGCCCGCGAGCTCGACTCCGCCGCCTCGCGCCTGCCCTCCGAGCGGCCCCGCGCCTCGCCCGCGCGCCTCGCGCAGCTCGAGCGGTGCGTCGACCGCTGGTGCGACTTGGGCGAGCAGGCGGAGGCCACCGCGGCCGCGGTGAGGGAGGAGGGCGCAGGCGGGGGCGGGGGCGGCGGCGGGGCGGGGGCGGCGGCGGAGGAGGAGGTCGAGGAGCGGTGCGCGGGGATCGAGCTGCTGCTCGAGCAGGTCGGCGACTTGGCCAGCGAGCTCTCGATGACCAACGTGACCACGACGGCGATGTGGTCGATGCGCGAGTTCGGCTCGCAGGCGCTGCGCCGCGCCGACGCGTCGCTCCGCTTCTGCTGGCGCGGGCTGCGCATCTTTGCGGGCGACGTCGCCGAGTCGGCCTACCTGGTCGCGCGGCTGCTGCAGGGGAGACGGCTCACCTCGAGCGGCGTCCGCACCATCAAGCGCACCCTCACCGACGCGGTGGCGCTCGTGCCGTACACCATCATCATGGTCATCCCACTCTCGCCTCCGGGGCACCGCTTCCCTCGCCGCCCCGCCGCCCCGCCGCCCGCGCCCCGATGCGATGAGCCGTTCGTCGCCGGCTGTCGCAGGCACGTGTTTGCCTTCTCGCTGCTCAACCGCTGCTTCCCCGCGGCGGTCCCCTCCGCCTTCACTGCCCAGCGGCAGGACATCGACGAGATCTACTCGCGCATCGCCGCAGAGGCGCCCGCCAACGAGGACGCGGCGGAGCGGCGGCAGCTGCGCAAGGAGATCTCGTCCAAGCTGGCCGAGGTCACGCGCGCCGGCGTCGGCCTGGTCACGCGCGTGCCGGGGCGGGCGCGGCGCGCCGTTCTCCGTCGGATGGGGCGAGAAGCGGCCGCATGACGCCACCGCGCTGGCGCACGCGCGCAGCGGCCAGGCGCTACACGGAGTCGGAGAGATATTACTTTGGCCCGTTCTCGGAGTTGACGATTGTGCACGGGTTTTTACGACACAGTTTTGCGGGTGAGAGGCGTCTCGAGTTCCGCCGTACAATGTCACAAATCTACGTGGGGTTCGTGGAATTCGTCGTAAAACCGGTACACAGACAAATCTACCGCCTGCGGCCATGCCAAGCTCCGTTCGCTCCAGACTCCATCATGCTCTGCTCACTCCCGACTCTGCTTCCCAGGCCCCTTCCAGAAGTACCACAGCGCGTACAGCCCGCCAAACTCGCCCACCGCGCCATTCAGGTATCCGGCCGAGCGTGCAGTCGTCAGCTCGCGCTTGCGCTGCAGGCACTCGGTGTCGGCCCGACCGCACTCGACCAGATAGATGGCGTCGGGATCATTGGCGGCGTCGGCAAATGTCTTCTTTGCTGCAGCCGACGACGGCAGAGGCACGGCGCTCACAGCCGCCGAAAAGGTGGCGGCGGCGACGCGGCGCCCAAATGCTGGCGCAGGAAGCTTGACCGCAGCGGCACCCGACATGATTCCGAACACGGCTAGCAGGCAGACTCGCGATGCCTTCATTTTCACCGAGCCAAGTCGTAGCGTTCGCACACGGCTCGACCGCCAAAGAAAGAAAGAATTTGTTAGCCAATGGCAGCTCCTCGACCCAGCTCTAGCTTGGGATGTCCGTTGTATTTATTTATTTATTTATTTATTTATTCGGGATTTTAAGGAGAGAAGTGTGGTGCTAGCCGTCGCCCACCCTCGGGCCTCTACCACTTCCTATCTCTCTTCGCAGTTTCTCACCAATTCTCGCAGCGACCTTCATGCCACCTCTCGTTCTTCTCACTCTCGTCCTCGTTCTCTCCCCTGCTCGCCAGCTCCTCTAATCGCGGGCAATCTATTTCTTGATTTCTTGAAGGCATTGTACGGGATCCCTCAATCGTCTCGGGTCTCGCCCTCCCTCACTGTGTGTTCATTGGGAGGGGTCATCACAAACACGGTACAACTGTACAGGATCGAGGACGAGGTGCACGCCGGTCGCCGCGAGAGAGAGTGCTGTTGAGAGATTTTTTCAGTGTACTTCTCTCTCTCTCTCTCTCTCTCTCTCTCTCTCTCTCTCTCTCTCTCTCTCTCTCTCTCTCTCTCTCTCTCTCTCTCCCTCCCTCCCTCCCTCCCTCCCTCCCTCCCTCTCTCTCTCTCTCTCTCTCTCTCTCCCTCCCCCTTTCTCTCTCAGTGTATTTTAGCTTAGCGAGAAGTGCTTCCAATTATCTTTTGTTTGACCGCGCAAGACAAAGGGTGGCTAACTAAGGGCTCTGCCCGCAAGGCGCCCGCGTCGCCGACGCGGTACCATTGACTAATCCCGGAATACACACCCACACAACCAAATAGCGAAAATCCGAGTACCGTGCAAAAACCACGGAATCTGGCGAAGAACATCGGTTCAAGTTTGGCTGACTCCATAACATGGGCGATCCGGCGCTTCCTTCGATTGGACGGACGAAATGATCGCGGAAAAGCGGGACCGCATCGCGACATCGGGGGTTCCTCCAGTGCCTCCAATCAAGTCGCACCTCTCTTCTTCAGCGAATGCAGCGGCAGCACCACGTCAGAGGCCGGGCCGACTGGCGGATCTGCATGCCCAGCCACGCCCCCCACTCCCCACCCGCCAGGATCGATCTGACAGCTCCACCAGCTGCAGCTCCCACCACCGCGTGTCGTGTCATGAAGGATGAAGCATGATAGATAGACATTGCAAGCATGAACATCGAAAGGTCTGATCTCCAAAACGAGCTCTCGGCGGGCCGCGCGCACCCGCGCCCCGCCCCTTTTGCGCAGCGCAGCGCAACACCTTAAACTTTCATGGCCCTCAAAAATCGGCCTCGAGGGAGGCCTGCTGGTCGAGCATCTGCCGCCACTCGCGGGGCGTCCAGCCGCGCCGCCGCGCTGCGGGGCGGTGCTCGAGTCCGCGGCGGCCAGCAGCGGCACGGGGCCGTGAGCTGCCCCGACGCCCCCTCGAGCGGCTCGCGGCACAGCGGGCAGGTTGCCTCATGGTTTGAAACCCAGTCGACGATGCACTTGCGGCAGTAGATGTGCCGGCAGGCGGTGGCGACCGGGTGAGAGTCGGCGTCGATCGGCTCGAGGCAGAGCAAGTGAGGGCCAGCTCGTCGTCGGCGGCGGCGGGGCCGGCGGCCTGGGCGAGCTCGCGCGCGCGGCAGAGGGCGGCCTCCTCCTCGGTGGCGAAGCGGCCGAGGATGATCTCGAGTCCGTCGCGCTTTAAAGAGGCGTGGAAGGGCAGTCGTGTCCGCGGGCAGGTGCGGTAGACGCCCAGGAAGCGCGTGCCCGAGGAGCTGGACGTGGGCAGCACCAGCCCCTCTGCCTCCGCCGCCTTCAGCGCGGCAGCAGCTGTCATCGCCGGCGGCGCACCTCTGCGCGCTTGGCCTCCGCCGCCGCCCAGCCCTCGGGCGAGCGGGCGTAGCAGAGAGCGGCCGCCTCAGCCGACCAGAAGCAGCCGAGGTTCGCGAACTTGCCGCCGCGCCACACGCGTGCCAAGAAGGCAGTTTGCACGTCTTTGGCGTTTATTAGACGCCCACAAAGCCCGAGCCGCCGCCGCCCGTGTGCAGCACCAGCCCCTCCTCGACGGCCGCCGCTATGGCCTGGGCGCTCGTCATCTCCTGCGCCTCCGCCTTGGCGAGCTTGGCCGCTTCTTTCAGCCCTCGGGCGTGCGCGTGTAGCAGGACGCAGCCTCCTCCCGCGTCTCAAAGCGGTCGATGGCAGTCTTGGCGCCAGCGCGTTCCACGATGACAACGTAGCACCGCTCAGAGCTCTTGATGTGCCGGTAGTTGACACACTTGGTGTCGGCCGTGAGGAGTTTGACGGAGGGCTGCGCATGATGTCACGCTGTGCTTCTACATAATTACCGCGTAAATTTCCCGGATCATTTCTTTTGTGGGGGTGGGAGAGGGGCGCACGGAAAAGCTCACTCTCTCTTCAGTGTGAGCGACCGTCACACTACCGTCACACTATAACGAAGGTGCGAAGTTTCTTTTATAGCTTGTCATGTGAGAGAGTCCGTTGTGTTCTTGTTCGGTATCCGCTTTCTCTTTTACGCGCCAGCGTGCCTAGTGTCGTGCGAGAGCCTTGTAAAATACTACCCGTACCCCGGGAAAATACTACCCGGCTGCACCCCGACGCGAAGTGGGAGCGCGCGTTGCCATAGGCTCCAGCCAGCGTGCCCTTGTGTGTCTTTTTGTGTTCTGAAAATCGTAGTGCACTGAGAGATGCCGCGGGCGGTGAGCGCGGCTCAAAAACACACACGTGCCGGCTCTTGCAAAATTGCACGTCCACGTGTCTCTAGAAAATTCGCAACGAGGCAAATCTAGCGTGAGGTGCTTTTTACTTTTGGTCACGTGGGGCGGGGTGGCCTGTGGCTTGTGTCTGGGCACACTCACTCACTGCTGAGACCTGATGAGTCTGCATGCTCGATGGGCGGCGACCCCGCGCATCGTCGATCACGATGGGGTCGATGCGCTGGAGTAGAGTGCGGGTGGGTAGGCCCTAACACGGCGGGAGGGGTAGGGGCTGGCGAGGTACTTCCAGCCTGCTGTGGGAACAGCTGACGCAGTCTCGCCGAGGCTCGCCCCAGCATCTCGGGTTGACTCGGCCAGACAAAAACCCCGAGAGGCGTGGGAGTACCTCGCCAGGGTACAGCCGTAGGGGTGCCGCTGTAGGGGTGTGGAGGGGTCGGACGAACACGGCGGCCGATCCAGGCTGCCTCAGATGACCTCCATCTCGGTCAAGCTGTGCTCCAAGGGCGCCCCGCCTTCGGCCGTGAGCGTACGCACCGGCGACACGCTGTCGGCACTCCTCGCCACAACCGGGCACGCCAATCCATCCCTTCACATCTCGCACGTGATCGTCAAGGGCCGTCGGCTCGACACAATCACGGATGGCGACCGCCCAATCGACACTCTTGGTATCACTGACGGCGCGGCGTGCATGCTCGTCGCGCGGCCGGCGGGCGGCGCGGCGGCCCAGGAAGCGCGCATGGCCAAGCTGCGTGAGATTGAGCGGGCTGCGTCTCTGCTGGCCGAGCGGGACTCGGGCGGCGCGGGCGGCGGGTACGAGCTGGAGATCTCGAACCAGGACGGGAGCAAGATCGAGCTTCCAGCGGCGGACCGGAAGGCCTTCTCCCTCGGCGCGCTCCTGCACGCAAAGGCGACGGCACATATTGGCTCACTCTCACGCCGGCTGCGCGCGGCGCTCGAGTCGCTGCCACCTCCGCTGGCAGAGGAGGAGGAGGCTGAGCTGAAGGCGGCCATCGCCCTCTCAAAGGGCGAGGGAATCGACGAGGCGGCCACGCGAGAGGGGCAGCAGGAGGGAGGCGGGGAGGAGGGCGGCGGGCCGGAGGGAGGCGGCTGCGTGGCGAGCCTCTCCGAGGCGAAGCACCTGCTCGAGGAGGCGGAGGCGGCATTCGCGCTCCTCTCGCCGCGCTTCGCCTCCCTCGGCGACAACGTTGCGCTCTGCAGCCTCGAGTGCGTGTGGGTGGTGACGCTGCAGCAGCTGCTCGCTCGCTCCTCGACGGTCGAGGCGGCCACTCTCGACCAGGCGACAGGGGTCGGAGCCGCCAGAAGCGCTTCCCTGTGCGGCGCGCCTCCACCCTCCCCGCCCCCCGCCTCTGGCCCAGGCAACACGCAGGCTCGAGAGGGTCGCCGCGCTGCTGCGAGGTGTCCATGGCCCGCCGGGGGCTGGCGGCGAAGGAGTCAGGAATCAGGTCGATACCTATAGGCTTGCACGGCGCGTCGCTCGAGCGGTTGGCAGCGCGCGACGACGGCGAGTGCCGCCCTGCCCCGGGAGAGGGCAGAGGACGGGAGAGCGGAGAGGGAGTGCGGAGCGAGAGCGCAGAGGGAGAGGGCCTCCATGGCGATGTCTCCTCTGGACAGGTGCGTGGCGGGAGCGCGCCGTGTACGTCCGGCTCCACCTGCTGCAGGGCGCCCTCCGTCTCTACCGCGGCGAGGCGCACGACGCGCGATCGGACCTAGCGCGCGCCGAGTCGCTGCGGCAGGAGCTCTCCATCTGCCCGCACGACCAGCCAAAGGGGTGCGCACGCCGCCGCGAGCCGCCGCACCCGCCGCCCTCGCCGGCCTCCGCCAGCTCCTCCCCCCCCCCCCCCTCCCCGCCCCCCTTGCAGATCGCGTCGCTCCTCGAGCTCGGTGTGCCCCTCCGGAGCGCGCGCGCCGCCCTCCTCGCCACCGGCAAAGACGTGACCCGCGCGGCCGAGTTCGCCCTCACGCGGCACGCGGCGGAGGTGGCCGAGGAGCGCGACGCGGCCGAGCGGCGCCGGCAGACGCGCGCGCTCGTGCAGAGCCTCGTGGCGATGGGGTTTGGCCCTCGCAAGGCGGCGGCGGCGCTGCGCCGGTCGAAGAACGACTTGGCTCAGGCGGTGGTGGAGCTGACCCGCGAGGTTGAGCGAGGCGGGGGAGGCGGAGGAGGCGGAGGAGGCGGAAGCGGAGGCGGAGGCGGAGGTGGAGGCGGCGAGGGCGAGGGAGGCGGAGGCGGAGGTGGAGGGGCCGGCGGCGAGGGCACGGATCCGTCCGCCCCCGTCTCGCCCACCGCCCACCTCCCCGCCGACGCGGCCCAGCGCGAGGCGAACCGCGCCATCGACCAGGCGATCGAGGCGGCGGAGCTCGGCGCGGCGGTGGCGGCAGCGGCGGGCGCTTACGACGAGGTGGACCTTCGGCTCGAGGGCTTGGTCCTCGGGCACCTCCTCGCGCTCGTCGCGGCGCGGGGCGCGTGAGTGGCGCAGGGGCTCGCTCTAAGTAGGCGGCGCAGGGGCCCGACCCTCACGCGCCCCTCAGCCCCTCCCCCTCATTGAACCTTGTTAGTTGTTTGTGTGTGGCGTCGACGACATGATCTTGCACAGAGCCCTTGCGTTTAATTTAAAAAAGCAAATCTTCAAACCTCATCGATAGGAAAGATGCGAAGGAGGTGAATACTGAGTTCGAATGGCGCGTACGGCACAAAACGTGGAATGATCAGTCCGGGCCGCCGACTGCTGAGGATCAGGAGGACTCCTCCACTGGATCGAGAGCGGTATGGGCGGGGCGTCGGGCATCTTGGCGGCTCCACCTCCAGTCCGCTCCCTACCGACGCTCCGCCTCACCCTTCGCGCCGACGACCCAACCTCACGCGGAACAACCCAACCCAACCCAACCAACCCAACCCAACCCAAAAAGCACGATTCTCCTGTTGGGCCCTCAATGTGCGGGCTCGCGCCACACGCGCTCGCCGCAGACTGACACGCCCCGCACTCAACAGGCCTGTAACATACAAGATCCAGCAGAACTAACTACTACAATAAACCGTGTTCAGGGGACAGGGCCAAGTAGGGTATAAAGTATCCGTACGCCACAAATGGCTGGCTATACTGGGGTACATTAGGAAGTCAGCGCCATACTGCCATACCTGACAAGGACTCACACTGTGGTAGGGCCAGGTATCCGTACTGCTGTAGCAGTGCCCAGTGCGCCCGGTACCCGGATACCGGCGTCCGGCCTCCTCGTACTGCAATACTGCGAGAGAGGCGGCACAATACTGCCATACCTCCCACATACAAGTGTCGAAGTATGGCGAAGTATGCATACTTCAATACCACAGACTTCGCCGCTTGTACGCGGATACTGCAGATACTGCAGATACTGCAGATACTGCAGATACTGCAGATACTGCAGATACTGCAGATACTGCAGATACTGCAGATACTGCAGATACTGCAGATACTGCAGATACTGCAGATACTGCAGATACTGCAGATACTGCAGATACTGCAGATACTGCAGATACTGCAGATACTGCAGATACTGCAGATACTGCAGATACTGCAGATACTGCAGATACTGCAGATACTGCAGATACTGCAGATACGGGTGGGTGCCGACTGCGCTATACAACAGCGGCTGCGGCACCCCACAGCCTCGGTGGAACAGCTGCCAAAAGCTGAATATGCACTGCCAGAGGCATTGGCCAGCAGCGACGCAAAACTTGACGGCCGAAGCGGGTAGATAGATGCGTTGCGGGCTCTCCTGCCTTCATGTGCGATCCAAATCAGCGACTGTCAAACAGGCTGGGTGCTCCTCACTTGACTCTTACTGGAGTGCAGCATATGCCCGGGTAGGGGCAAAGAGCCAAAGCGATTGTCCGTGCAAAACCAGGAGGCTCCCTCTCGCCGACCCTCTCGCCGCGGCACTGCCGAGGGTGAGGCAAGTGGATGCGAGTGCCATGCAGCATGCTGTTGCTGAGCCTCGCACAGCACTGGCGGTGCATGATTTCACCCGCCTGTTGCCACAGACGACCCAGATACCGCGGATACCGCGGATACTGCAGATACTGCAGATTACTGCAGATAGATAAAGTACTACTTGCGGCTATTGCTCAAAAGATTGGGAGAGAAGGCCTACATATTATGACTGCATCCATGCGTCTGGTGCATGAGGGTTGTGGATCGGTACATTTCACGGTCGGTGGCGCCGGTATTGACCTCCGGAAATCCGTCGCAATCGCCTCTGATGGGGTCCACCAGCGACCAATCACGAGCCCTCTCCGTGGCATCACGAGCCGGTGTAAGCTTGAAGACCCGAGATAAGTGCGGTCTGGGACAGATCAGGGTTGCTACTGATGGGCCTGAGCCAGGAGAGCGACAGAGACGGCGTGGTGGTGAGCTGAGAGCAGGTAATAGCGCTTCGTGGCACTTGCTTCGCCCTTCGCGACAAGGTCACACGCGGACGCTCCAGCTCACCGGAGAGGCCCGCCCGCGGGTAGTCTCCCCCCCTCCCCAGGGCCTCCAGGGCTCGCACCTCAACCTCTCACAGACCAGCGCATAGCGCCGTACGACGTATTTTCTTCTCATAACAATGGTGAGCCGGTGTGTGTGCCAGTCCGCGCCAGTCCGCGCCCTTCTCATAACAAGGCTGTGAATAGCAGGGACCCCGTGTTGCGTGACGCTGTGCGATTTCGGGCCCAGGTTGTGCGTTTACGTGAATACCCAGCGCTGACTTCTGACTGTCCCGTTGCTGTCAACGAGAAGATGGGACTCCACGGTCGCAACCAACCAGCTTTGCTGCCTCCGCCCCCTTCACCGTTCCGACCGGCAGACTGGGCGCGTGCGGTACTGGAGCCGTTTGTACCTGCCGATCCCGTCGCATTAACGTGGGTTGACGTGGTCCGGCTGCCGGTGACACTGGTCTCCGCCGCCGTACTCCTCGTCCTTGTCACGAGGCCACCACGTGGCGACGAGGGCGAGGAAGAAGCGCGCAGCGCACGTCGCGTGACACGGTGGGCACGCCGGCTGCTCTATGCGCTGAGCGTTGTCAACCCCTTCTTTAGCGTTCTCGCCGACGACTTCACGTTTGTCCGCGATGCAGCTTCGTCCTACGTGGTCAAGAGCCGGAGCTGGAAGCAGAGGAGGAAGGGAGGTGTGCTTCCCGAGCAGCAGGAAGAGGCGCTTCGGCAGCTCGCCTTTGGGATCGGCAAGATCCGCCCGCGCCGCCTCTTCGCCGTTGGCAGCATGCTGAGAGGCCTCCAGCTCTACTCGCCGCTCGAGCAGCTCTTCGACCCGCCGAGCCATTTTGGTTCGGTCGTCAACGCGCTCGCTCTCGTGGACGGTGTCGCGTGGCCTGCCCCCGTGACGCTCGGCTGGGCCGTCTCCAAGCCGCTGTGGGTCCTGGGCGGCAGCGGCGGCAGCGGCGGCGGCGGCGGCGGCGCGAAGCAGACGTCGTCGCCCTCGACCGTACATGCGGATGACGCGCGGCTAGCAGCTCCTCGTCCGGCGAGCCCTGGCCTCCGTCTGCATCTCTATCTGCCGGCGGTTCACTTGAGCGTAGTCGTCACCACCGTCCTGGTGGCGACGCACCGATGGCGTGCGGCTCTCCTCGTTCTGTGTGGCTCGTTGCGGTGGGTTCCACTTCGTGACGCGTAATATCTAAAGTACAATCCCAACCCCAGTCTGTTGGCCCCCCAAAAGCAAAACGCAAAAAAGCCAAATACCGTTCTCCGTTCCTTGAGCACTTGAGGATCGAATGAGCACTGGATTGTGGATATATAGGGTCGATTCCGCGCGTGGTGTACGGCTACGGGGACACGGGGCCCCTCGATCGTCTCGCCCTCCCTCACTGGAGTGTTCATTGGGGGGGGTCATAATAAACACGGTACAGGATCGAGGTGCACGCTGCCGAAGCAGTGTCGTCCCCCTCTCCTCGGTGATGGCGGTGTGACCGATCGAGCTACAAGAGGAGGCTTGTTCAGCAGGATCAGGGGTGGGCCGAGCATTCTCACTTCCTCAATGGGTGAGCTTCAGACCTCGGGCCTGCCTCCCCCCTATCGTTCCTTTATTGAGTTTGTTTTCGCTCTCGTGCGTCCTTGCATGGAAGTTGTGCCACAAGCCTTGTCATTTCACCTCCTACATGCACATGCACATGACATGACATGCACATGCACATGCACATGCCATGTGTCGTCCGCAGGTCGTGCATGTACGGCTTTAGTATTGGCTAGGTCACCTCCTGCTTGCTGCGTGCTGGCTGCTCTCCTATGACAAGTGAGTCTGTTCTTTCTCTTTTGGGTTTCTACGTTTGCGATTTGGATTTGGGATCGCCTTTGGTTTTGTTTTGATTGTTTTGGCCCCCAAAAGCGCCCCAAAGCAAATCCGAAAGGCGGCCCTTATCAGGGTTTCAGTTTAGCGCTACTAGTAACCCAATTTCCACGCTTCGCGAAGGACGCGAAGTCAGCACGCGGCGCCCGTGCCGTCGACCATTGCTCACGGACCGTGTCACAATTTGCCAGCATAATGGATGTGGGGTCGCGTGCACTGCCGCCTACGCAGGCGCTGTCGCCGACTGCACCGCGCTCGCTGCAGTTACGATCACTTCCCACGCCGCTTTGCAGAGCTTGGTGTGCAGCACGGCAGTCCCCACGGAAATGCAGCTTCAGAATCTGTGCAGGGTGTCAGGAGTGCCTCGACGGGCCGGCTCCCCCGCTGCCACCACCGCCGTCCTCCTCCAAGATTTGCGACAGTCCCGTGCAGACCGAGACGGCCCATCAGTACTGCGGCAGTGGGGCTCTGTCCACAGGCTTCGTCGCGGGCGGTGAAGAAGGCTGCCGTGGCCTCTGCACGGCGACACCATTGTGTCGCTTCTTCTCCTCCTGGGAGGGTGGCTGGCAGCGTCATGCAGATGCGAACGAGCAGCCTCCACCGCCTCTGTCCCACTTCCCCACTTCCCCACCGCTTCTCTCGCTTGCGCTGACTCTCGCCCGCGCCCACCAGGTGTGCGCTCACGTCGAGCTGCGATGTGCTGCAGAATGTCAAAAGCGGAGCTGAAATCGTGATTCGAGGCTGCCGGTCGTTAACACCGCCGACTCCGCCACTGCCGTCACCATCGCTGCCACCGCCAGTTGTATCACCGCTGCCACCACCGCCGTCCTCCTCCAAGATTTGCGACAGTCCCGTGCAGACCGAGACGGCCCATCAGTACTGCGGCAGTGGGGCTCTGTCCACAGGCTTCGTCGCGGGCGGTGAAGAAGGCTGCCGTGGCCTCTGCACGGCGACACCATTGTGTCGCTTCTTCTCCTCCTGGAAGGGTGGCTGGCAGCGTCATGCAGATGCGAACGAGCAGCCTCCACCGCCTCTGTCCCACTTCCCCACTTCCCCACCGCTTCTCTCGCTTGCGCTGACTCTCGCCCGCGCCCACCAGGTGTGCGCTCACGTCGAGCTGCGATGTGCTGCAGAATGTCAAAAGCGGAGCTGAAATCGTGATTCGAGGCTGCCGGTCGTTAACACCGCCGACTCCGCCACTGCCGTCACCTCCTTTGCCACCACCGCCCTCGCCCTTGCCGTCACCAGCGTCACCCTCGCCGCCATCGCCCTCCCCCCCGCCACCGCCTCCGTCGCCGCCACCGCCACCGCCGCCGCCGTCGCCGCCGCCGCCGCTGCCGCTGCCGCCGCCCTCTTCGCCTATGTCGCAGTGCGCCCTCTTTTGCCTGGGAAACAGCAATCCGTGGACCTACAAGTGCAATTGGAAGGCGTGTAGCGGCTGCGCTCCCGCTTGCACTACCAGCCCGCCACCTCCGTCGCAGCCATCGCCCCCACCGCCGCCGCCGTCGCCCCCTCCCCCGTCGCCGTCGCCTCCTCCGTCGCCCCCACCGCTGCCGCCGCCGTCGCCCCCACCGCCGCCGCCGCCGTCGCCCCCGCCTCCGTCGTCACCGCCGCCCCCGCCTCCGTCGCCACCGCCGCCGCCGCCTCCGTCGCCATCGCCGCCACCCCCATCGCCATCGTCCCCACCGCCGCCGCCGCCACCCCCTCCCCCGTCGCCACCGCCGCCCCCGCCTCCGTCGCCGCCACCCCCA